TTTTAATTTTTTCCTTTTCGCGGGCTCGAACCCGCGACCTCTGTACTACCTGCCCGATACGGACACATCATTATCTACTGTACGATCAGATTAGATAGGACGGCAGTGCACGGCACAGCTCGGGCCCCGCTGACACAGCCGCTTTGACTCACCGGCCCCCGGGGCCGCGTCGGCATGCTGCGCACAGACCAGCTGCGCACGGACCAACGTGCACAGCCTGCCCTAAATCTTCCCATGTATATAAACCAGCCTCTGCTGCCCTAGGGACCTCAGTTTCGACCTCTTGTCCCTAGGTCAGTAAGCTCTCATTTGTATCCTTTACTTACCTTTACTAACTAATACATTTCTTGTCCCTAGCCTTAGGTTTGAGCACTGCTCACCATCGCTTCGGTGAGAATCAGTCAGACGCCCCCAGCTCTTTTAGGTTTTCCCCTGTCGCTAGACCTCAAGTCGCGACACCCCATTTGTGGTATAAAATGACCACATGTGATGTATGTATAGCACGCAATTGTCCCTCATGGGCATTGCCTAGCCTGTGGACAAATGTGCCCATCACCCATCGCACTGTCATTCCAACAACATGTGATACATACATCATGAATGACCATTTCATACTATGATAGGGGCCTCCAGCCCCTGGCTGATAGCATGCCTGAGCTTGCAAGCTTGTACCTGACCATGCATTTCAATGCCAATATCACACTTCAGTGTGACAGCTGTCACATTGTTTGGTCCTCTTTGTTCCATGTCCATGAAAATTGCTGTGTTGTTAGTGGCACCTTGAATACTACATCCAACATTAGGTCAACAGCACTGGAAGCGTCAACCATCTGAGGTTGATGGACATAGCTTTTTCCCTACACAATGTGGTTCAAGTTGCAAAAAACACATTGCAGGCAACACTAATTCCATGCGAGTGGGGACCCTGTCCTGCAAAGTTGAATAGTAGAGAGACTTTTTTGGAGGTGTGTACTAGGCCATTTTGATTTTTAATACTGGAGAGCACATCACAAAGCACTTTGATATGATTGATGTACACTCAGGAGGCTGTACTTATTTGGTCAGCTTTTGAATATAATGTAAGCTGGCTCTACTATGAAGGTGACATCTCAGCTTGTGATGCATTCCAGGAATTAGTGGAATGACTCACAGTATGAGATGTCTTTGTCATTTGGTTGAAGTCCATCATGACTGGAAAGTGAGGGGCTAGAGTGAATAGTTGTGCATTGATTTCATCAATGATGAATGTCACAGTTGTGTTTTTGTCAATACTGTCTTTGTTCATTTTTCTCTGTTTTACAAGTCATACTCATTTTTTGTGTATTTTACTCATGTTTATGGTGTTTTCTTACCAGCATTTGCAATATCACACTGCAGAGGAAGTGCAGCATGTAAAAATGTTCCATTTTGGTATTTGAGCAGGACTGATTGTCATCTCTATACAGGAAACCTTTCAATGCCGCTTGATGAAATGCTCAGGTCGTCTTCATGCCTCCGAATATGACCTGCAACAGCATGTATTGCTCAGCCATTTGTCGAGGATGAATCTGCCTTGTCCTGTTTATGGTATGATTAATCAAATTTTTGATGAATATCCACTGAAGAAGCAATCAGGATGTTCTTCTGTATTCGGGAGGCATATACAGCTTGTTGACCATGTTAGGGAAATGCACCATGATTTACTTGGCCACACATCAACTCTTGGTTCTCAGTCATCCCATTTGAAACCAGCACGAGATCCAATACCCCTGCCTCCTCGCAAACCACCCAGCCTACCCGGGGCAAATATGCCATCCTTCCTCGCATTTGCACTACCTGTCAAACCATCTCGCCGAGGCCATCGCGACATATCTTTGTCCTTATCGCAGACATCACATAAACGAACACGCTTAGGTGAACCAGCACGGCACGACAATCCTATGGATATCGAGTCCGAACCATGCGAGAACCTTCGCACACTCACAAAGCTGGAAATGTTGCGCGAGCTCACTGTTCGTCGCCAAAAGCTACCAGATTCGGCTACGCAGCTTTCGAGGCCGCAGTACCTTACTCTCCCGCCTATACGCGAAATGCCGCCACAGGCCCGAGTAGGGTATCCAGCGTTTGAGGCCAGATTCAAGGAATTGGAGAATGCAGGGCTGATTGATGGCACAGGCGAATGGGCGGAGGAGGAGGACGATGACGATGATAGCGCACCCTCGAACAATTTACCGCATCCCCGGTCTCATGTCTGATTCCTTCCTTCCTGCCACACCACGCTTTCATGACGCTCTCATGACGCTGTTGTTTTCGTAGCACGAACTAACTTACGACCATCGCTATATTGTAGAAATCCTGTTATCGTCTGCCCGCCTCCGAAAGTTTTGTCCATATACAAGGTCTCAGATGAGACGGTAGGATGCTCGCAGACATGTGAAACCTATGCAATGTATAGCATCATGGCGAGATATGGGTCTAGGCACGCTCGCGCGGTACCGCGCTCTCAGGTCTTTTGGATTTTCAACTCAGCGAGGTACCGATGCGCACGTCCAAGCATCCAAATCGTAAAGGAGAACTTGAAGTTCGGATATGCGATTGTGACGCTCTTGTTAAAAATGCCTTCCATAGCCTCCTGAGGCCACGAACCATCCTACAGGAGAGGAATATAGCGAGCGGTACAGACATTAAACAAGGAGGTTACATACCGGATGTTGACGCGACATCACAAGACGCACAGCGCGCTCGATGGGATCTGCCTTGGGGTAACGAGCATAAATGAGAGCCATTGTTGCCCAGCATGTTTGAATTGTCTGCGTCCGCTCATGTTCAACCCAGGTGCTTGTCTCACACGACTAGTCGATGGAGGGATACAGGATTATTGCGTGGAAGTGGGCATATATTATGAGGCGTATAACCGTGTCAGCATCGCAGTGATATACGGCAAAGGGACATTTACTCGCCTTGTAACTTTCTCCCCAACCACCATCTGCCCTTTGGTGCCGCAGAAGTAACTCACACGCCTTCCGTGCGTAAAGACTAGTCTCGTATGTCTCGCCCACAAGTGCGAGACTCTCGCAAGCGAATTGCGCAGCGTAAGTAAAGCAAATGCCCCATGAACCAATCCAACCACCCTCGGGCGTCTGCGCCCGGTGGAGGTAATCAACCGCACGGTCGATGACGCGCCTATGCGGTCGAAACGGTCATTAGCTGTCGTTTTGTCCGGATGAAGGAAGCCGCACGCACTGTATATCCGCAGAGCGGTACTGCGGATAGTGTTTCCGGAAGATAGACAGGGCTGTGATGACCGAGGTCGTGCATTCTGGATAACTATGTTCAATCATGATGTCCCCTGTCAGGTGTTTAGCACGTTGTGGACGCATCAAGGTACTTCCGAACGAGCCATACCGAACACTTCTGCAGGATTCAACATCTCTAACCACGAAGGACCCCGGATGAGCTCATAGCTTGCAAACCCCCCATTCGCGTTCTGCATCCCAAGCAAGAGATCGACGCTATCGCACATTCGCTTTTCTGACACTAGCTTGGGCGCGAAGCTGAGCATGGATCAGCCACAGCAGGCTCGTTATAGAACGGTGCGCTCACTCGAGATGCTCTTGAATGTAGAGGACGGCCTTGAGGCCTTCTCCTGTACAGTCACTTACAGTGTATCCCTGCGTCCTCGTGCTGAACGGCCACGCGCCCTTTGTTGCGTGTCGGTATGATACCTCAAAGTGCTTTGGATTTTGCTGTATCTGGCATTGGTCGAGCCACCCGAGCGCGCGTATGAGGCTCTCCTTGTTTTCTTCCTCGTGTCCGAGCCCAGTCTCGACGAGCGCCTGCGTGATGAATGCTATGTCCCACAGCTGTGAACCGTTCGTGCCGCACATGCGCATGCCCTCGCCGCCGATCCACAAGAAATCTGCACGCGTCTCGCGATGTCGCTTGTACGCGTCGCTTTCCGGACCGTCAACGAGCCAGCGTACAACGAGGTTCATCATCTTGGATACCGGACCCAGAGTCTGGTATCCCGTGTTCTCGTCCTCCTGGACGATGAGTTGGTAGCACTTTTGCATAGCCAGTCGACGGAGCGGCGGAACCGCACAGGCCTCGTATACGGAGAGGATCGAGTAAGCCGCATCGAAGAGGCGGGAGTGTGGACAATAGAGGTCGACGGGGCAGACATTATTCCGCTGCGCCGGCCAGTCGATCTTGTAGTAGTCTGTGGGGTATAGTTCCTAGAACGTTCTTAGCGACTATTGGTTGCGACTTGACAACATCCATACCTGGCGGAGAGACAAAATCAAGTCGTTCTCCTCCATTTTGAAGCGCAGCGCATAGAGGTACGCCATGGGTATATAGACAGTCCGCGTATGGATCCACCATTTGTGAGGGTGGAACGGAACAAAGTCCGGAAATAGCCTATGGTGTAGTGTGAGCACGAGTACTCATAAAGATGAGATTGCTAGGACCGTAAAGTATGCCATATACAGCTGCACATTATCACAGGTCTGGGCAGGAATCGCAGCTACTGCGTCTTACCGGGCAGTTTGCAGACCCCCACGTCGGTACGCTCTTCCTGATTGACCCAAGAGCTAAAATATCTAATCGGACGTCGCGCACGTCTCGAGAGATTTGGGGAGATGCTGCTGACAGATTGGCGGCAGGTCACGCCTGCCAACACGGGGGGTCTGCCAACAGCCAGTACAACACAGTATGTAGAAGGAAGTGGGGACGAAGAAACATGTTATGCGGAACGCTGATTGCCTGACGTCTTACAAACATCGGATGAACCTAGAAGGTACTGACCATAGCTCCGGGGGAATGGGATTGTTACCATCCCAGTCATACACATTCAGAACCGCTAGCCAGAATTTGCCCCATGAAGGGACGCCCGTTGCACCACCAAGTTTGTGCAGTGTCGCTCTAGCTTTGACCAAGGTCGGATGTTCGGGTGATACGCCGAGAATGCGCATCACGCAATAGTTCAGCGCCGTACCGAAAGCGGTGGACTCGCCTTCAATATGTCTGCCATATATTTATTCAGTGCAAAACTCGAGAATGGTACACATGCGACATACAAGCCCCAACCACCGTCGTCAGGATGCGCAAGGTTGATGAGATACCGTATCATCTCCAACCGCTCCTCGTGAGTGAAGCCCATCCCTGTTATGTACGAGCCAATGACTAGCCCAGGGAGCAGGAACATAGGGCCTCCATACTCGCCTGGCCAGTGTCCGTCGGCATCCTGGAGACGTTTGTAGAAGGTGTACCCGTTGCGAGCAGCCCCGAGTGCATCTTTGGGCGTCGGAAGCGCAGGCGTGCTCAGCGGGAGACCCAGCCAGTACTTGTCAATGTCAGACTGCGGCCAGTCCTTGCACTCTTCGTCTGTATGGAGGTAATGCCAGATATGCCGACCGTCGTCGGAACAGCGAAGACGCCAACGAGTATAGTCTGTAAATGGCTGCGCCCCAGAAGCGGGAATATCGAGAGAGGAGTACGACATGGTCAGTCTGGTGAATGTGTGCCCTAACACTCCAACTGCGACACCAGTTCAGGTGTCCTGCGTGGAAGTGACACTGCGGGCGAAGAACGTCAAGGGCTATATGAACGTGGTGGGCAATGGTACGACTGGGGCCTGTGATTCTCAAGACCGTTCAAGGCCCGCAGAACTGTCGTACTTCATCACACGGAGCGCGACATGCCGGCTGCGACGTTCATGATCCATGCATTATATACAGTAAGCAGCTTCAAGTACAACCCAACAGTCGCGGACTCGCTATGCTATGGTGTGTGGCAGACCGTAGAAAGCCTGCGCCGCAAGTCGCGGCCGCGACTCGGACGCGTACCAGCGCTTCAATCACGTGCCCAGCGCGACGCGTGTGGAACTCCGGCTGTCGTACTGTATCCTCAGTCCTCTGCCGAAAGCCTGTCCGAAGTCTAATTACCTGTGTTTGACGCGAATAACGACGTGCTATTAGCTCATGAACCGCACTCACGCAACATCATGTCCTCAAAGACAAAGATCAAAAGGATCTGGACCGAATCTGCAACCTTGCACTCTTGTACTACTTATGGACGGTCATCGTTGCGATCAACCTTCATTTGGGGGCTCTCGTGTTCAATCACCCCTCTGGAGCCTACACAATCGTACAGATTCAGGCCAGAAATTCGGGACTGCAATTCGTTGCGACCTTTTTTATCAAGCACTTGAGAAGGCTCGCTCAAATCTGCGCCTGCACGCCGTTGGTAAGCTCGAGGCTGTTGTCGCGATTTCAACCTCCTCCTCCTAATTTCTCATCAAGTATAAATTCTGTCAACGGAATCATAAAAATCAATCCTAAGTTTCAGAGGCACTAAACCTACCGCTCCAGATGATTTCTCACTGTGTAGGCATTGCATATCTACCCATGGTTGTGCAAGCCCCTCATCGGGTTTTTGACGAAACGAGGGATACGCGGATCTTCAATGAGGACAGTGTTCGCTTTCCCAAGACTATTGGACCCATTTCACAATGGAGGGCTGCCTTGCTCTCTGCGGCACCACCAAGCACGATCCCACAGAGTAGCCTCGCGTGTCCGCCGTACTAAATTTGCTTTAACCATAATAGCCCCATAGTCCGTGTTCCACATCCACGTCTTACGCGGGGCTCCCCACAGCCGCCACCTTATGGGGACCTCTGCAACTTTCCCCTTCGCTCGTGCATGACGTCTCTCCTTGACTATGTCTATTTTCTGGACGATGAGGGCCTCGAAAAAGCATCGCGTCTGAAATGCTTTACGCAGGTGTTTCTATTTCTCGCCGGTTGAACACGCGTTTTCGGAGGGGCCCTCTACCGCCAATAAAGCGATTCACGATATCCTACTGCACACTCCATTATCACCCATTTTATGTGCTTAAATCAAGGGCATGTCTTCATTACCTGCCTCAATCACAGACCACTTCTTGATTGTCCTTGTACTCGCTTCATCGACTGACTCGCATTTGCCTGTCAGTCGGGGCAAAGGTCCGAAAAAGATCATAGCGGTTGTTAAGTTCATTGGCATGCATGGTGACATTCTGGAGGATATTGTCACGCGTCTTGACTGGTCTACTTTGGATCCCGACCACGATCATTGAGTCTCGCGATCCGAAAGGCTTGCATCTAATCTTGAAAGATGTATCGAAGCTGTCTCATTGATTCATTGTATTGACTTCAAATTTCGTCGTGCGATCATGTTCCATGTAATGAATTTGATACTTTTGCTTCAATGTTCCATGTGAATTGCACGCTGACGACTCAAATTGAAGCAATTGTCTTTAGGTAGTGTAGAATATACTCGTCCCAGAGGTCTAGCAAAAGAGAAATCTAGGCATCTGATTATGCATGATAAATTCAGTGTCCATGAGCAATATCAGTACCAATGCTATTTTCTTTTACATGCGAGTACCAAGGATTTTGATCACAAATGATATCACTATTGCACTAAGAGCCTGAGGTTGTAGCCAGAAGCTCTCGGCGCTTATAGACGCATCAGACACGTGACTGAGCTCATTCTTGCAATCCGCTTGTGGCTGCGTGGTTTCCGTTGGTTCAGCTCTGTGCTTATTCTGTTGTACTTCACCAGTCATACTGCTGTTCAGAAGCGTGTCACTGCCATGAGCGGTACTTCATTTCGAGACTCCCTCATCGTGATTCTTGACACTGGTCGCTCGTCCATACGCGCCGGCCTCGGTCTTCACGACCTCCTTAAGCCGCCCTCTATTGTATCCACTCTACCGGCGCACTGCATTCCTTCTTACTGAAAAAGTCCATCTTCAGGAAATCTTGGCTCGTGTCGGGCTACCGAAGAGTCTGGGCACTTCTTCTATCGACGAGAGCGCCCCGGATGTAGATACACAGGAGGGCTCCTCGACCTCCAAACCACGGTCTCCGCCCTCTGTTCAGAACGCCAAGACTACGGATTATCTGGTAGGAACGCAGCTAGATGATGCCCTGGCGGCTGGTCAAGATCTAGCCATTTATTGGCCATTCGCCACCGGAGACATCAGCGACTGGGTGCAAGCCGAAGCCCTCTGGTACGTGTGTTCCCATCTTCTCTTGCTATGCCTCGAATCAAACGCTCCACCAATACGTACAGGAAGTACTGCCTCTTTACCGCGCTTCACCTCCGCCGCTTGCAGATGGAGTCGCCCGTCCTGCTCACGCTGCCGTCCGGCTTCTCGCGCGACGCGTACGAGCGCGTCTGCCAGCTCTTTTTCGAGCGGCTCAACGTAGCCGCCTTCGGAGTGCTTGAACGGCCGACCGCACAGTTCTACGCCGCGCTGACCGCCTCGAGCCAGCTCAGTGGTGTCATTGTGGATGTTGACCTCGAGTGGACGGACATTACGCCCATCTATGACGGCTTCGTGCTTGGCGGTGCACGCACGAGCGTCAATGTTGGGATGGACGACTGCAAGAGGTACCTCGCAGGCCTGCTGCGCAGCAACCAGACCGTGATGGCCGCGCTCGCAGAACCGGGTGAGGGCGCGCCACCGCCTCCGGCAGACGACGTGGCGCAACAAGCGGCCCTCGAGGAATTTGCCCTGCAGCTGTGGGCGGAGGACCACATCAAGGTATTGACAGAGGGTGAGGCGGGCGCGGCACGTGAAGCGGTCGAGCTCGACGCGAATGGCGATATCAACATCGCTGCGATCGTCGTCGCGGGGAGAGAAAAGGCCGTTATTGAAAGCGGGATGCGCAAGAAAGCCGCGCGAGGGAACGCCGCGGAGCAGGCCAAGGCGCGAGAAATTGAGGCCAAGGATTTGGTGGAAGTGCAGTGGCGGGGGAAGACGGTGACGGTGGGCAAGGAGCGGCACCGATTCTGTGAACCCCTCTTTGACTTGGCGGCACGCGGAAGGAAAGGAAAGGGCAAGGCGAAGTTACCGGACTTGCCCTTGCAAGTGGCGCTGGGGGAGGCGGTCAGCCGGGCGGAGGTCGACCAGCGGTCATATATGTGGCAAGGGTTGTTTGTGACCGGGGAGATCACCAAGCATGTCAGGGGTATGCTTCTTTTCGCTCTTATATGTGCGAGTTCTTACAAGGCACGCAGGTCTCGGAGCTGCGTTGCAGACCCGCCTCAATGCCTACATGGTGTTCAGCGCTGATCAGTTGAATGAGGTACAACCCCGAGTGATTCGTACACTCAAGATCCCAGAGTACTTTGCAGAATACAGAGAAAAGGGAGACGGCCTAGCGTCGTTCTTGGGTGCGAGCATTGTTGCGAAGGTAATAATTCCTGCTGCATCTTACATTGTTCGCTGACAGTACCCATGTATTACAGATTGCATTCAATGATTCTGCAGGAAAGAACTTCGTGTCAAAAACCGACTATGCCAGTCAAGGCCCACGAGCTGTCCTGGGAATGTCGCCCTCGCTTCTCTGACCGCTACTGACTTCTTGCTCTTTATGCCTTCGTGTAAAATCGCGCACTGGAATTATCTGTGATTGCGATGGGCATGTATAATCTACAACCAGGAATGAAGAGGTATGCCAGTGGGATACGCATTGCGTGAGCATCACCCACTCTTATGTCGTCGATTTCCCTGCGTAGCTTGCGGTGGAATCTTAGAAGGGCTCGTGTAAAAACTCAAGGCGGGTCATGAACATCCAACAGTCTGTCTTGGCGAGATTGGGAGGGCCTCAGCAGATTTGCCACAGCATCATGGATGAAAGCAGGAGCATGAATTCTCCATAGCAGGTATCGAGAGCAATAGAGTAAGTCATACATGCCTATCATAACGACCCGTCCCACACCACGACTCGGTATAATATTTTATGCGGCCGCACCCTCAGCAACGGCGAGGAGGTCGCTGTCTCCAGGGTCGGTGACGGTCATGACACTAGAAAATGGCAGATATCAGCATAAGCGGACATGCAAATGAAGACGCGACTGACCCAACACGGAAGAGCTTTCCAGCAGCAGTACCGAGCGCAACGTTCGTGCCGGCAAAGTGGTGCACAGACGTCTTGGAGAGCATGGCATAGTACTCGATCTCCGACTTGCGCAGCGGGGGGCAGTTACCCGCGATCAAGATGAGCTTGGCTACACACAGCACTCGGGGTCAGCACAAGGGACCTTCTCAGCCTCACGCTCCAGTCCCCGGAGACGAAGTTCAGCGAGCGCACTCACCCTTGCCATTGCGCATCTGCTTGAGGGCGGACTTGTAGCCGAGGTAGTACTTGCCCGACTTGACGACGAGGGCGAGACGGGAGGAGATGGACTCGGTGGACTTGGCAGCCTTGGACTTCTTGGTGGGGGCCATCGCGTTGGTGTGGAGGGTGTCGGTGCCGGTGGGGATAGACGGTCGGTGGTCGCTGCTTGGTCTGTCGGCCCGCCGTGTTGACGGCGGATGTTGCGGCGGACGGCTTGCCAGTTCTGCAACAAGGTTTGATGGTGGCTGAAACCTGTGATGTCTCAACCTCGATTTGGGGTTAGGTCTACAGAGTGACGTGATCGCTGTACCATAATACCCATAATACTTACTGAGGCATCACAGCGAAGGCCGGGCCTAAGGTCAATACGGTCACGGTGTACGCATCCAAAACGCAGTACGAGAATCTCTCCTGTCCCTGGTGAAACCGATCTCTCTCCAGCGGACTCAGCATGCATGCTGTTGTCAAGACACATTCTTTTCATGCGCCATGTTGCCCGGGTCGAGTTGTACTCACCCATTGTTCAACGTCGCCCACAATCCCTGTGCCGGAATCTGGTGGTAATAGTAATACTTCACTTGTCCTCAACCAAAGTAGACGTGTTCTCAGGACGGTGCACCCTATTATCCTTTACCACGTACTTACTTTCACAGCCACCGTTTCTGTCACCGATCTACCCCCAAACATGCATTCTCATGTATGTCTTTTGCCATTTCAATGGTGAGACTAAGAGCCAGTCTTTCGACGGGCACAGCGTACACTTTCCGAGACAACTAGAGCTGTCTACCCGCATTGGGGGTTATCCTGTTCTCTGTACCGTCTTCCAATAGAGTCAATTGCTCATATCCGTCGACGACAATACTACGCTCTTGTCTACCGTGCGCCGCTACCTCTCGGAATCGTCATCATCCGTCACGTTGCACCGCTCAAGACTTCAGACGCTTAAGCTGGCCCGGAGCAGAACTCCCGCGCAACAGATGTCATGATCCTGCTCGGCCCATAAGGTTGCGCACACTTTTCGTAGATGTCTTATAGCACGGACACAGTGCCTCGTGAATGGCACTCTCCGGAGGGGCTGTTTTGTGGTCACCCACTGTAAATATGTACCATATCAGACAGAGTCCCGTCCGGAATCTTGAATGCACTGTAGATCGACCGGGGTCGATCGAGATCGGGGCGCCAAACAGCGCGTCAACAGCGCGCCTTCATCGTCTCCCACTCTCATTCCTTACTCCCAGCCAACGGTGCATCTGCCCCCCTACGCAAGCGACGATACCCGCGCACCATGTCCGACAAACGCAGAGCAGAAATCGAGGCCAAGCGCGCAAAGCTCGAGGCACTGCGCAAAGCCAGGGCCGACCGCCAGAAGGCAGACGCAGAGCGTCGCGCGTCCGAGGTGCGTAGCAGCCTCCGCCCCGCGCAGCGTCTCTGACACTAGACGCGCGCCGCAGACCGCAGGCCCCTCCACCGCCCGCCGCGACGTGGACGACCTCGTCACCTCGCTCCTCGGCACGAACATCGGGCGCAGCGCGGACAGCGCGAACGACTCGCCCGCGTCGTCCATGCCGGGCACGCCTGCGCTCGGGCAGACCTCGAGCCCCGCCATCGCGGGCCCGTCCGCGCTCTCGCTCTCGCTCTCCGGGCGCATGAGCCGCCAGAGCGACGGCGCGTCCGACCGCGTGAGCCTCGGCACGACGTTCGTGCAGTCCGCGAACGGCGGCACGGACAATGTCATCGAACGGTGCGTCTCCCCCCCGCACTGTGTGCGCGCGCGGGGTCTCATACGGCCAACGGCCCAGGGTCATGACGCCGCGGATGGTTCCGGACCTCATTGACGTCGAGCAGGAGCTGTTCGAGCTGCCGCAGAAGGTGTGTGGCGCCGGTCATGTCGTGTGGCGCGTGCACTGTAGCTCATGCGCGGTGCGGTTGTGCAGGAGCGGGTGATCTACAATAAGGAGGTGCAGACCATGGATATTGAGAGCGAGTCCTCAGAATCGGACGATGATGACGCGCTCGACCGTGCGCAAAGAGAACGGGAGGCGCTAGAGGCCGAGCAGGCAGCGCGAGAGAAGCAGCTCGAAGAGGAGAGCGTGCTGCTCGACAAGGAGATTGAGCAGGTAATCCGAGGTTCGTGCTCTGCTTCATGGGGCTTGCTGCTCATAACGTTCAACTCTTGATTTTGCAGAGATGACGGAGGAAGAGAAGATGAGCATCTTCACGGCGCCCGAATTTCTTGACTTTGTGGAGCATTCAACGAAGATCATCCAACGAGCACTTAACGACAATTATGACTATGTGCGGGATTATACCATTGGTACGGAAAGCGGAGGGTGAGTGAGATTACATTACAAGCTGCTATGCATATGACCGTTTCTATGACTCCAGTGAGGACACGGAAGGACGGAGGGTAAAATGTGTCTGTGCATTTTACGACGAGCGATATGGGAAGAACAGATCCATCACAGATATAAGCTGGTCACCGAAGGCTTGTCCGATATCCCCTCTCCGTGTAACAGGCTTCTTGACGTGACCATCAGTACCCAGAGCTCTGCTGCGCATCGTACAACAAGAACCCGGCAGCACTAAACGAGCCCGACGGCATTGTTGCGGTGTGGAACCTCCACTTGCTTGAACGACCAGAGTTTGTGTTCCATTCACAGGTGCGTGCCATTGTTTTCGGCCCGTGTAATTTGTATCCATGAAGCTGCATCCAGTCGGATGTCCTCTCGGTGACGTTCTCGCCGTTCCACTCGAATTTGATATTCGGCGGGACGTACTCTGGGCAGATCCTCCTGTGGGACACGCGGTCAAAGCACCTGCCCGTGCTCAAGACGCCGCTGTCCGCGGCGGGGCACACGCACCCGGTGTATGCCATGCAGATGGTAGGCACGCAGAACGCACACAACCTGATCACGAGCAGCACGGACGGCATGGTGTGCAGCTGGCTCGTGGACATGCTCGCGCAACCGCAGGTCAGTCGTGCCCGCATCACGCACCGGCGCGTCCTCTGGCTGACACTGCACTGCGCTGTGCGCGCAGGAAACGCTCGACCTGGTGCACGCGGGGCACAACAAGACGGGGGAGGTGGCGATCACGTGCCTGGACTTCCCGGCGAACGAGACGACGACGTTCTGGGTGGGGACGGAGGAGGGGAACGTGTACCAGGCGAACCGGTACGACCGCGCGGGGGCGAAGGCGGGGCTGAACCAGTACGACGTGTACCGGGGGCACGCGGGGCCGGTGACGGGGCTGGACTTCCACCCGCAGCTGGGCCCGGTGGACTTTGGGGACCTGTTCCTGACGTGCAGCGTGGACTGGACGGTGAAGCTGTGGCGGGCCAAGTCGCTCGCGAAGCCGAGCACGGCGCCGGCGGTGGTGGGGCCGCTGCACTCGTTCGACGAGGCGGACGACTATGTGTACGACGTCAAGTGGCACCCGGCGCACCCGGCGCTGTTCGGGGCGGTGGACGGCTCGGGGCGGTTCGATATATGGAACCTGAACATTGATACTGAGGTGCGTGCGGTGGCGCGCTGTTGCTGGAGATGACGCGGACGCTGACGGGCGGGCTGGCAGGTGTCGACGGTGACGACGGCGGTGGGGGCGGGGCGGGCGCTGAACAAGCTGCAGTGGGACCGCAAGGACGGGCGGCGGGCGGCGCTGGGGGGGAGCGACGGGAAGGTGTACATCTACGACATTGGGGACATGGCGCTGCCGCGGGAGTCGGAGTGGACAGACCTGCAGCGGACGATCGCGGGGGTGGGCGGGGGCGGGGGGCAGGGCGGGGCGTTGGGCTAGTAGCGAGTGTGGGGAACACCCTGCGCGCAGAGAGCTTCTCGTGTGCCATCTGCGATTGTATTGGCAGATTTCTCCGCGAGCGGGGTACACGGCAGTTTGGCCTGCATGATGTATACCATTGTTGGTAATATACGTACCCTATGCGGATCGGGGAATACATCATTGGGTGCGGGGAAGGATCTGCGGCTAGCCTGGGTATGGCGGAGGGGAGCCGGAGGAGCGGGGACGAGGCCTGGGTGCGGCGATTGACGGGCAGCGCGCGCCCTGGCGCTGCTCCGTGAATGTTGACCGCGCACGATGGGGCTACACTGGGAACACTTTCCGCGTGCAGCGGCGATGGAGCGGAACGAGGACAACGGGGTTCCGAGCGCAGAGCCCGGGTGGCCGAGGGCCTGTATAAAGACGGCGGCCTTGCATGTCCCGCGAGCATCGAGTGGTTGGTACCGTCAGCTGACGGATCGATGCTTTCCCGCCCGTCGCTGTCGTCTCCGCGTGTGCCCCTCCTCCACCGCGCCTTCCAGTCTCTCGCCGCGCTCGCTCGCTTGTCCCTCTTCCCCCCTTTTGCCTCCCGCCTCCTCCCCGCGCGCACCATGTCTTCCTTCAAGCAGGTACCCCTCTTTCCATTCTGACCGTCTCGTGCCGTGCTCACCGTCGCCTTTTCTGCGCCCGCACCTGCAGGAGCCACACAAGTGAGTGCACCGACGTGCGATGTCCATGCTCTGATTCTGATGTCCCCCGCAAGGCTTTTAGTGTAAGTGCGCTCGATCGCGTCCGATCAGCCCATCTCACCGTCCAATTTCTGCCAGCATCCCCGGCCCCATCGAGGTCGCAGACGACGTCCGTCTCTTGCCTTTCAGCGCCCCTTCCGTTCTGCTCACCCCCCGCAGGTCCTCTATGCCAATGCACACCCCTCCATGTCCCACATGTCCGCGGACTTTGTCCCCGTTCTCGGCGACTGCCTCCGCATGACCCGCCAGGTCCTCTACTCCACCACCGCACAGCCCTTCATCATCGCCGGCTCTGGAACCCTTGGCTGGGATCAGGTGCGCCGATCCCCCTCATCGCCCGCCGTCCCCCTCCCCCCTTTGACCCGGCCCACCCACACAGGTCGCCGCCAACCTGGTAGAACCCGGCGAGAGCGTCCTGCTCCTCAACAGCGGCTACTTTGGCGACAGCTTCACAGAATGGTGCGCACGCTGCCCCCCGCCCGAGCACATGCACTCACCAGCTCACGCACACAGCCTCCAAGCCTACGGCGCCAACGTCGATGAGGTCCGCGCCGACTTTGGCACCGCCGCCGACCTCGACGAGGTCGCAAAGGCGCTCTCTGCCAAAAAGTACAAGCTCGTCGCCTTCACCCACGTCGACACCTCCACCGGCGTGCTGTCCGACGCCAAGGCCGTCGCCGCCACCGTGCAGAGAGTATCCCCGGACACCCTGGTACACGTACACCGCTGCGCCGCGTGATGCTCAGCTCAACCCTTGCACAGGTCGTCATGGACGCCGTGTGCTCCGTCGCGAGCGAGGACATCCGCATGGACGCGTGGGGCCTCGACGTCGTGCTCACCGCCAGCCAGAAGGGCCTCGGCACCCCGCCCGGCCTCAGCATCCTCGTCGCCAGCCAGAAGGCCCTCAAGGTGCGTCCGAGCTACTGAACTGCCGCCGCGCGATGCCCATCGAGCGCGGCACTGCACAGGTCTTCGAGGCCCGCACGCGCCCCGTCGCGTCCTACTACGCCAGCTGGAAGAAGTGCGTCCCCCCTGCTCCTTTTCCCCTCCCCCCTCCCTCTCTTGCACGAGAGCCTGACGCGCCCGCAGGTGGCTCCCCGTCATGCGCGCGTACGAGGCCGGCAGCGCGGCGTACTTCGCGACGCCGCCCGTGAACCTCATCTACGCGTACCACGCGTCGCTCACGCAGATCACGCGCGGCGCGCCGTCGCTCGAGGAGCGCTTCGCGGCCCACCGCCGCGCGAGCGCGCGCATCAAGGACGCGTGCGCCGCGCTCGGCCTGCGCCAGCTCCCGCGCGACCCCGCGTACGCCGCGAACGGCATGACCGCCGTGTACTTCCCCGCGGGGCTCGCCGCGCCCGACGTCGTCCCGCGCCTGCTCCAGAAGGATGTCGTCGTCGCGGGCGGCCTGCACAAGGACCACAAGGGTGCGTGCGCTCCCCGCTCCCCGCTCCCGCCCGTGTAGGCCCGTGCTGACGAGAACGCTGCTGCGCCAGACAAGTATTTCCGCATCGGGTACGTGGCGTTCGTGGTGGTGTGCGTGGGCGCTGACGCCGACCGGCTTGTTGCTGCAGCCACATGGGCATCACCGTCACGCACGAGGAGCGCGGCGACATCGACCGGATCGTCGCGGCGCTGCGGGAGACGTTCGCAGAGGCGGAAGCAAGTAAGAAAGCGTGAGAGCCGCAGCGTCGCAGTCGTGTCAGAATGTCCGTTATTGAACTCGTGTCGCGCACACCGTCTCTCCCCCCCCGCACATGTTGTGTCCGTTAGTGTTTCCCGCAGAATCCTCGGGCCCCTGTTGCACTCCCGGATGTGATGCGATCCGTCCAGAGTAAGGCAAGAAAAAGAATCAAAGCCCGCGATTCAAGATGGCGCATGGGCCGCGCACGCAAAAATACGACGAAGTTCCCGGGGCTCGGAAGCCATGAAGTGAAAAGTTGAACTTGATTCTCGCGCAAGCAAAGTCAAAAAGTAAAGCCATATAAGGCTGCTGGCCCGACGAGCCGCGAATTAATGTGAGGGCCCCTCGTCATCCGTGGAAAGATGCCAGTCTGAAAAACAGAACAGTGCGATGGGAAATGATATATAGGTGTACATTACTTTGCTGGCTGCTATTGGACGTGTGCGTGCGTCTAGAAAAAAGAGTATTATGGGTACAGAAGCTCCACACCCAAATATATGCCGTGGGCTGGCTGTCTTTCACGTCTGCCGAGTAAATCCCGCCCCTCCCCGAACCGCCAAAATAGAAGAGGATGCAATAGACTGTGTGGACGCGTGTCGTCGGGCCTCTAAAGAGCTGGACTATGCAGCGGTGTCGCGGTGCGCGCCTTCGCCGCCCATCCGGTCGTACCAGGCCTTGCCCTCCGTCGTCGCTGCGATGTAGCCCGCGCGGATAACAAAGTCGCCGAAGTGCTCACCCGAGAGACGCTCGAGCGCGTAGTGTTTGATCATGGGCCCGAGAATAGCGAGGATCTCAGGCTCGGTGACCGTTTCTGAAAAATGCGAGCCATGTGAGATTGGCGTCGACAAGTGCCCGGGGAAGCGCACGCACCTCGGTAGATCTTGTTGAGTCGCTGGCCGTGGTAACCACCCCCCAAGAGCATCGCGTAAGTGCCAGGCGCTTTGCCGACGAAGGCGACCTCTGGGGACATGGAAAGAAGCTATGAGCCGCGCGTCGATGTCAGAAGCCGGCGAGGATGACGCACCCGCAACGTATGGTCGCGCACAACCATTAGGGCACCCAGTCATTCTCATAACTATAGAGTCGTTGCGGAGGCCGTTTTCCTCGCAGATCTTCTCCACCTTGTCAATGAGGATGGGGAGATACTGCAGAACAGACAGTCAGTGCGAGAACACACGCATGATAGTAGAGGCTGTATACACACCCGCTCCGACTCGGCCATCGCAAGACCACACGTGGGGAACGCAACGCAAGCTGACGACGAGAGTCTCAGCCCGGTGTGGTTGAGGTTGTCCAGCTTGTATTCGGCAAGGAGCGCCTTGATGCGCGGGAGATCCTCCGTCGCGATGTCGGTGATGAGGAGATGCTGGTTGGCGGTCATTCTGAACGCGCCCTTGTGCACCTTCGCGATTTCTCGGAGGCAGGTCTTGAACTCGCGGCCAGGCTCGTCCTGGACGCGGCCGTTCTCGATGAAGCAGGTGTAGTGGTGCTTGCCGTCCTCGCCCGTGTGCCAGCCGTAGTCGTCCACGTTGCGGTTGAAGGCGAAGGGACGTGCTGCCTGCAGCTTGTAGCCGAGTCGTCGCTCGACCTCAGCCTTGAAGTTTTCCAAGCCCATCCGGTCAATGGTGTACTTCAAACGGGCATTCTGAAGAAACAAACTCGTTAGCACTCAAATTTCGCGGTTTTCTGCATATGACTGTATACCTTGCGGCTGGAACACAGATAATCAGTCAACAATGAGAGGGCAAACACAATGGCATAGACTCACTCTTCGCGGTTGCCGTTATCTCTCTGGACAAGCATGATCTTCTCAGCCACCTCGACACCTTGCTCAACAGTGCAGTAACCGATGACATCTCCCAGGCGGGGATACGTCTTCTTGTTACCGTGAGTGACACCCATACCACCTCCAGCAGAGACATTGAACCCGACCAAGTCACCATTATCGTCAGCGATGGCGATGAAGCCGAGGTCGTTGGCGAAAATGTCCACGTCGTTAGTAGGAGGGACAGCGACGGCGACTTTGAACTATTGAAAGCGGACTTAAAATACAGCGGACGACGTGTCCAAGTACTGAAGGATGCATACCTTGCGCGGGAGGTAGAACTCGCCGTATAGAGGCTCGACATCTTTCAATGCGTCGCCAGCTACCAGCTTCTTGTCGAGCCAGATCTCGTGGTACGCTGTTGTCCGGGGAAGCAGATGTTCGCTGACACGCTTCGCAAAGTCATAGGCCTGACCGTGCAATTTCGTCAGGGAGGGGATCGCCGACACAATCACGTTTCTGTCGCAGTCGCAGGGCCCTCAGCAACAAGACCACGTCCTCACGAACGGGAGAAACATACCGGTTCACGTCCCCGCAAGCAGCGAGCGTGTCCAGGAGCGCCCTGTTGATGTCCTGGATCGCAGACTTGAGGTGGCCCTTGATGACGCCGTGGTACTGGAACGTCTGCCGCGTCGTGATCTTGAACGTCCCGTTCCCGTGCTCGTCCGCAATCCGGTCCATCAGCAGCCACTGCGCGGGCGCGCACACGCCGCCCGGCATGCGCACGCGGATCATGAACGAGTACGCGGGCTCCGCGCCCTGCGCGACGCGCTCGTCCCGGATGTCGCGGTCGTCCTGCTGGTAGATCCCGTGGAACTTCGTCAGCTGCGTGTCGCTCGGCGCCAGCGCGCCCGTGCTGCCGTCCGCCAGCCCCTCTTTGATCGTCCCGCGCAGGTACTGCGACGCGACCTTGATGTGCTCGTTCGTGATCGGCTCGGGCTCCGCCTCCTGCACCTCCACCGCGTCCACGCCGAGCGCCTTCCAGATCCGCGGCTCCCACAGCTTGTAGCCCGTCTCCGGGCCGTCCGCGTCCTGGTCGTCGCCGAGCCCGAGCGGCACCACCCGCTGCGCGCCCAGCTGCGCGAGGCGCGCATCGAGGTCCCGCCCGGCCTTGTTGTAGTAGTGCGCGTCCTCCGCGCGCGGCCAGTAGTGGCTGTCGCCCAGCCCGAACACGCTGCACCGGACGCCCTCCAGCGGCCGCTCGCCGCGCGCCGCCGCCGCGCTCACCGCCTTCACGAGCGCGCGCCCGTTCTGCGGGAACTCGCCCTGGCCCGCGACGCTCGTCACGAACACGACCCACTCCTCCTTCGCGACGTCCGCGAGCGCGACCGTGTCCATCGCCGCCGCGCGCGCGGACAGCCCGCGCATCTTCGCACGCGCCGCGAAGCGCTTCGCCATCTTCTCCGCGCGCCCGCCATCGCTCGCGTACAGCACCGTCAGCGGCGGCGCGTCGATCGCGGTGAGCAGCTCCGCGTACGCCTTCTGCGCGCGCGCACGGCGCGCCGCGCGCAGGCGCTCGCCGAGGCTGCCGACGAGCTCCGCGGGCAGCTGCGCGGCGGCGCGCGTGAGCTGGCTGAGGTGGTTCTGGCGGTCGAGGAAGCGCTGCAGCTCGTTCTTGATTGCGTCCGAGTCGAGCGCGAACGGCTCCGCGCGCGCGGGGTCCCAGCGGTAGAGCGGCCAGAAGCCCGCGTCGACGGCCTTTTTGGTCTCCTTGAGGAGCGCGAGCGCGGGCGCGTCTTCTGTTGTGTACGGCAGGTACGCGAGCACGACGCTGGGCCCGGCGAAGCGGTCCGCCTCGACGAGCGCCTGCAGCACCTGCGCGTAGCTCGCGTACACGGCGACGCTCGCGACGTAGACGTCGCCGTGGTTCATGGCGTAGAGGCCCACGTCCTGCTTGCGCCGCGCGGGGTCGGCCGCGCGGGCGGAGTAGGGCGTGGTGTCGAGCAGGAGCACGTTCACGTCGAGCCCGCTCGCGATCGCGTGGTGCAGGCCGGACGCGCCGAGGTCGTACGCCCACGCGTCGCTCCCGATGATCCAGCGCGACTTGTGTCGCAGGCCGGCGGCCTGCTGGAACACCCCGCGTGCACGTACGACGCGCTCTGCCACGGCGCCCGTCAGCAGACCCTTCGCGGCGGCAAGCTCCAGTGTGGCGGCGATCTTGTCGCCGAGTTCTTTCTCCTTCTCTGCGGCGTTGCTCTTGCCCTTGCCCTTGCTGTCGTTCTTGCCCTTGAGCAGTGGCCATTCACTCAGCAGCGCATGCAGATCCTCCGGGAGCGCGGGCTCGCCTAGGAGCTCCTTGACGTCCACCGCGAGCCTGGACACGGCTTCGTCCTCACCACGGATGCGCCCAAGGGTAAACTCGGGGCTCGTGGCTACCGGGCCCAGCTGCGAGACGAGCGCCGGGTCGTTCGCGATCTCGAGTCGCTCGCCAAAGAGCGTCTGGAGCAGTGTGGTGTACGAGGATTCGTGCTTTGGCACATGGGGGGCCTGCACTTCGGGCGCTGCTGCACTGCCATTCGCTTTCTCGGACAAGGGCGCACCGAGGGACAGCCGCTCCTTGGCGTCCTCACCTGCTTTGAGCAGAAGTTTCTGTACGTCTAGGACGGTGAGGCCGCTGACATCTCGGAGTGCGACGCTCCGTACAACCGGTCGCTCTTCCCTTTGATCATCCTGGAGCGCGCTGACGACTTCGAGGAAAAGCGGCGTCCATTTGACGCTCCATCGGCTGACCTGTTCGCAGACGAGAACAGTCTTCGCGGAAGCGGGTACCGCTGCTGCGATCTTGGCGGCGGGAAGCGGCTTGAGCAGCGAGACGTCGATCCATTGGACGTCCTCGACCTCAAGGGACGGTGGGACAGGACCAAGGGTGAAGATGACCGTATGCGAGGTGGAAGAACCGCGAGGGACAAAAGCGCGGAGGGGACGGCGCAGGACGGCGACGGTGGAGATTGCGGCGGATTCATACGCTTTATAGAGCGCAGCGGACTCGTCGGGCTTTGACTTTGCGGTACCGTTAGCATGTCCGTTCGCGAACCCGTTTGTATGTCCGTTTGGTGAGGTGGGTGAAATCGGCGAGGCCTTTTCCGCGAGCAGGTACGGGTGAATACCGCCCTCGTCGAGTTCACTGAGCTCTTCTTCGTCTGTGCCGACGTGGAAAATGTGCAAGACAGCCTTGCCCTCGACCAAGGCAATACGGCTTGCGAGCAGCGCATGGTCGTGTGCCTGCTGCGCCGAACGAGAGTAGATGCAGAGAGGTACAGTGGCGCGCAGGACTAGTGCATCGCTGAGGTCGTCCGAGGGTGCAATGGCGACATGGAGGACGGTGGGGGTGTCGGAGAGCTCGGCTAGATGTGGCAGGAGGTGATGCAGCACCTGGCGGTGGGAGAGGGTCACGTACGAGACGAGGCTTGTCGCGGAGATATTTTGTTGGTGGCTTTGTAACAGTGCCGTGCCAGGGTCTGCGCCGAACGGGATGCGGTTCACGGGGCGAGGGGGCTGGAGGGCCGAGGAAGCAAGGGTGGCAAAGCTCGCAGTGAAAGGGGAGGTGGCTGGAAGAGGTGGCTCGGACGAGACAAGAGCATCTGAAGCCAGGAATGCAATGCGCGCAACTGCACGGACGGAGGGGGAGGGGGACATGACGGTGGCTGAGGATTGGCGGGGATCAGTGGATTTAAGAAAGAGATTGACGATGGTACGCACCGAGTCCTGACGAGAGGGGACGGACAGGGCCGGAATGGACGAGGGGGCAGCAGTTAAAGGCATCCCGCCATTCGGAATTGGAGGAGTGAGCCCTCACCCGCCTGTCCTCCAGCCAATCACAGCCAGTCACTCGCAAATCACGGCTCGATCACATCACCCTTGCACCATCCCACACCCCTAACCCCGAGGTGTGGTTAGGGCTACACCCTGCACGCGCCACCGCCGATCGCATTTGACTCTGACCAGCCATGTCCCTCATCACCCAGAAAAACAACCGCAGAGGCGGAGGCAACAAAGGTGGCGCACGCCGCCACCAGAACAACACACTATACGCACACCCCCTCCCCCTCGTCCTCGACCAGCCCCCGCCAACATGGTCGACACACATCCTGGGTCTCTTCGGCCTCGCAGGCACCCGCGTGCTCAACCCCCATTGCGAGGGCGTTTTCGACCCCGCCACCCGCTCCGTCTGGGTCCTCAACGCCAAGGACCTCGCCATCCTCTGGACACGCGGCTTCTTCGGCAAGGGCGACCTCTCCCGCAGCGAGCCCTCCTGGCGCACGCGCCAGATCAGCGCAAAGCGCGCCGCCGCCGGACACTGTGCGCCGTCCGTCTTACTCTCTCACACCCCGCTTGTGCTCACGCGCGCACCGCAGACATGACCGCAGAGGAGGTCCGCGAGAAGCGCAGGGCAGAGCGCACGCAGTTCAAGCGCGACCGCGCCGCCGCCATGGCGCAGGCCGCCGCCGAGGCCGAGGCCGCCTTCGCCGCGGGCTGCGAGGTGCAGCACACGACCGTCATCCCCTCGGGCGCGACCTGGAAGCCCCAGCAGCCCCTCGCCGACGCGCCGCCGCCCGCGCCCGCGCCCGAGGAGGACGACGACCGCGCCTTCGAGGCGGAGGTGCCCGCGCTGGAGCACCTGCAGCTCACGCTGCAGGAGGCCTTCTTCCTCATGTGGACCCTGGACTGCCTGACGGTGCTCGACCCCGCGACGGTAGCTACGCCCCTCCCGCATCGCCTGCAGACCCCCCCGCTAACGCACCCCGTCGCAGTCTGCGCCGATGAGCCTGCGGGACGTCTGGACGGCCTTCCGGTCCGTGCAGTGCGCGCCGCAGATTCCGATTCCTGGCACGCTGGAGCTGGACCTCTACGCCGGCCGGTTCGACAACCCGTTCCTCGTGCACTATGCCGCGTACCACTACTACCGCTCGCTCGGCTGGGTCATCAAGGGCGGCATCAAGTTCTGCGTCGATCTGCTCTTGTACAAGCGAGGCCCGGTCTTCCACCATGCCGAGTATGCATCCACACACGCATGCCATCGTGTATCATTAACATTCTGTAGGTTCGCTGTCGTCGTGCTCCCCGTGTATGAAGACCCCGCGGACCAAGAGTCGTCGCCTTTTGATCTCGCCAACGCATCTCCCTTCTCTTGGACCTGGCTGAGCACCGTCAACCGTGTCAACTCGCAAGTACAAAAGGTGCGTATGCGTCCCTCAAGCAGTGTCGCCCATGGCTGAGGTCCTTGCTCAGACACTCATCCTCACATACGTCACAATACCCGCCCGCTCACGAATGTCGCCGGACCTGCTCTCCTCCCCGGCATGTCTTACGCACTATTCGGTCAGAGAGGTTGTGTTGCGCCGGTTTATACCAGCGCGCATGCGGGACTAGAGAGATACATCGTGCGATAGCGGACAGATGCAGGTACGGACGCGCGGAAAAGTACAATGATAACATTAGTATTGAATGCTACAAGGTCTCTCGTCCACCCCCCATCCGCAAAGCTAGGCAGAACCACCATCTTCACCTGGACGTACCATGGGAGCGGCAGCGAATGCCGAGTGTGTCTGCGGTCCCCGACGACCATCGCCGCTTCCGGTGATCAGAGGACGTAACGCCGGACATGACCGGAGAAAACCCCGAGGCAACGCGCGAGAGTCGATGACAAGGGACGAGAGAGGGAGGACGGCAGGAAGAGCAGCAGAAATCTTATACAGCGCCCTTGATCTGTACCTTGCGATACTTCTCCTCAAAGGCTTCCACGAGCGGGATGTGTGCCGGTTTGCAGTCGAGAATCTTGTCTGTATCCGGGGCGTTGGGGTTCTGGAAGAAGCTTCCCCTGTTCTCTGACAAGCATTCGCGCGCGTGGGCCAGTGTCTCGAATGCGAGCTCGTTCTGGATGAACGACAGCGGCAACGTCTTGTATCTGCGGAAACTCAGTTTCACGACGCCACGCATATCAGAGCGTGCCGCAACTTACGCTCTCGTCATCACTATCAGCGCCCGAACTCGCTCCCTGCTGATGAAGTGGTCCATGATGTAGGCTCCCATGTTGGGCGCGCTCATGTATAAGTCAAAGAGGGAATGATAATTGCCCATCGCCAGCGCGCGCTGGACAGCTAGGGCGTGCCGCACCGCGTGGTCGGCCTTCTGCATGTCGGTTAGTTGACCTACGTATAAATTCAAATCTGCAGGGGATTATTGACACAATGAAACAGCAGTGAAGCCAAACAACGTGACATACCGCTTCGGTTCCGGCCGTGCAGCAACAGCAGAATATGGTATGCCGTGAATTCTTCATTCTTGCCGGGTATCCCGAGTTCATACAGGTTGCGCAGCATGGACTGACATTGGTTGTATTCAACCATGTCGCCCTGGAGCAAGTAAAGAGAAAAGGTGAGAGGTAGTGCTAGAACATGAGTAAGAACGAACCACTTCGAGCGCCATACGCGCATGATTCTCGTATACCATGACAGTGAACTCGTTCTTGATGCGCTGAACCTGGAAATGTCCAAGAATAGCGTCTGAAATCGAATGTCCGTGTCAGCAGCTAGTGACCACGCACGGTAAGGTCTTGGCGCAGACTCTTGAACTGAGAGCATATCCAAGTATATTTCTTCTTTTCACGCCAGTGCCTCTTCAGCTCGTTGAGGGTTTTCTGGAGCACTGGATACGGACGAATCTGCTCGGGTTTCGGTTCCTGTGGACGGTGACGTTAGTGCAGCGTGCCGCGCCCAAAACAAGGAACACTCGCTGAAGTTAAACGCAAGTAGTCCTTGTAGATTTCCTGGGACGTGCCGACAATCGTGAACCGATCCCAGTTCGGCACATCCTATGGCAGAGGTCAGGTATTTCCAATTGCGCGTCTGGACAGCAAAGACACACAGGGTTCGCTTCTGGTTCATCGCCATGGAAGGGTGAATCCGAGTGTGATGAGAACGTATGAGAAAAGGTATTTTGTGCATGACCTGTCTGGCTCTGTAGCCCCTTCTGTCGTTCAATTTCATGCTCCCGCTTGAATCGAGCCGCTCTGCGGTTCAAGGCAGCCACATCGGTATAATCCAGCGCATTAGAGGCCGCATTCTTGGCGACAGCAGTCTTCTTGGATTTCTTATTGCTTGTACTGCTTGTGTCATTCCTTCGAATACAGACCGATTAGCAAGCAAGCAGAGGACAGGGAGACTCTAACCCACAATTTTCGCTTGAGGCTGTTGAGAGGATTCACAACCGGTGGCGCCCTTGGAAGTAAGCTCAAGGCGAATAGTCCTTAGTGCGAGAGACGAGCAGCAGACGGGAGCGCACACCTTTGCAATTGAACGCCCGCCCAGTCTGTCGTCCACAACGTTTTGTTCATGAATGCATCCGCGATGACCTGTCGCAACTCAGCCTGGGCTTCCGCCCTGTTAGTATCAGTCATCTGCCCGAGGCACTTCGCAACCCATTCCCTGCGAGCAGTGTAAGTGACTGGGAAACCCCGAATACCACTTTGCCTCGTACTTCAACGGTGGTGGCCAGCTTTCAGACGACATTGTATAAGATTGCTACGAAGCTGGATAGTAGATAGTGATGCGATGGGTAGCAGAATGTCTGTGCAGCAACAACTAAGATGAACGCGAAGGCAAGCCGCAATGTGGTAAGTAAAGCGCAGTGACAACAGGTGGCCGGCGGTAATGAGGTGATCTCGATTCTCACGGCGGCCGGGCAGCTCACATGAGCCACAGATGCGGTCGCCGTTTATAAGGCGAGAGCAGAAGGGGGCTTCGTAACAAATTCGTGTCTCCTCGTATCCTCTCATTCTCAGAATATAACCGGCATTGCGGTACGGACAAACCACGACTACTACTCTCGATTGAGACTAATATTTACGGCACCAATGTCCCCCAATCAACAAGCTTCTAGTTCTAGTGCGTCGACTTATCCGCAGGGGGGGTGTAGACTGTGTCCGGGTGAGAACGTTGGTGAGCGATCACCCCCATGGCATGAGCGAAGGCTACTCACATAACTTCCTGGACTTCAGAGCCGACCACTTGAAGCGCTTCACGTACAAGCTGATGGCAGTCAGCGCAGAGAACAGGATGACGGCCTTGAGACCAATCTTCTTCCGTTCGTCGTGCTCCGGCTCGGCCGCCCAGTTCAGGAAGGTGACAACGTCCTTCGCCATCTGAGAAGTCGTCGCAGGCGTGCCTATAATCACCCGGTTCCCCGTGAATCAATGACGTCGTGCTTCCGGAAGGATAGCAGGCTCACCATCCTCGTACTCTACCAAGCCGTCGAACAATACTCGCGCCATTGAAATCGCATTGCCGGGGAAGTACGGGTTGTAGTTCATGCCCTCACGGATGTCGAAGCCAGCCGGGGGATCCCTGTACCCAGTGAGCAGGGAGAAGATGTAGTCCTAAGCGGACAACCTCGGTATTGGCATAGGGTCGCATCCGACAAGCTGAAAGCTTACCGCAGCACCATGGCGAGCCTTGACAATAAGACTCAAGTCCGGAGGCAAAGCACCACCGTTGCCAGCACGGGCGGCCTCCTCGTTGGCGTAGGGTGGAGGCAAGTAGTCGGAAAGCTTGCCGGGCCTTTGGAACATCTCGCCCTGTTCATCTGGGCCGTCCGTGTACTCGATTTCCTCAGCCAGGGCCTTGGCCTCGTCAGCGGTGTGCGAGACACCGACTAGATTACGCCAGGCAATGCGGTCCAGGGAGTGACATGCAGCGCAAACCTCACGGTATACCTGGTATCCTCGACGAATGCTAGTGGGTGCACAGGTGAGTGTGACGCTCGGGTCCGCTAGGAGCGGAGATAAACGGCTGACCTGGCATGGTCGAAAGTGTCCAGAAGACCCGAGTGCGACCAGGGATAGTGAGGGGGGTGAAGGCCGTCCTCTGCGGGGGAGTTGGCGTGCACCTCGCCGACGAAGGGCAGCGTGCCGTAGAGGCTCGTGTACCATGCGACGGAACCGACGGCAAAAAGGGTTGCGGAGGCAAGGGTCGCGCGGGAGTTGACAAAGGACTGCGATAGCATACATGATGGTGTCGCGTACGCGCATGAGGATATCTTGCACGTACCTCGAATGCGGACGATGCGGACGAGCTCGTCGACGCAAAGCGGACGCGCTATTGAGACGTGACGTTGAGGCCTGCATGCCCGCGGAGACGAGACGTGCATGCTCACCGATGCAAAACGTGCGCCCGCTGAGGACGTCGATGAGCGGGGGCCTACGACGGCACCGACATTCCTGAGGGCACCCGCAGGCAGCCTGGAGAACATTTTGAGGAGGGAGGGTCAATGACGGGATTTTGAGACGGGGACGCTGCCTCGCAGAAGAGTGACCGTATAAATGTCACATGTCACACTCAGCACGGGCGAACACGCTTGCTTTGCCGACTCACTCCGATCCTTCGAGCCCGTATCGCCGCCGCAAGGCCCATCGCTGTGTCTCACAGTGGATGCATCGTGCTTTCAGATATCCTCGCGTCCGGACTAAAAAAAGTTGTATATTATGGGTGGCGCTTTCTGAGACAACGTATCAATGCTACGTAAAAATTGAGATGCCAGAGGCAGAACATCCATAAAAAATACAGCAGAATCGTGACGTTAAATATCGAAGATAGAGGGTATGGAAACCACAAGGACCAATCAATGGCGACCGAACGGACATGAAAACGTGGGCATAATATGCATATGCAGATCGTAGCAGCCGTCGTCTAGAAGAGGCAGTCGCAGCACAGCTCTGCGGGTCGCATTGCACTCTGTCGTCAGTCGGGCACGCTACAGGAGACGAGAATACACACCCTCTGCACAGCAACACAAGCATGCCCCCGCTAGACACGCGCAGCAGTCGTCTTCTCCTCCACCCTTGGGCGCTGGCTGTTGGCTGGAGCCGAGGACACTCTCGTGAGCCTACTGAGAGGCCACACGTCACTGTGACACTTACACATATACAGTCTGGGGCGGTGGCTGAGGCTGGTAGCCGGGCTGGCCGTATGGCTGCCCATATGGCTGTTGAGGATACCCACCCTGGTAAGCCTGCTGTGGTTGCTGGGGATAGTAACCGCCTTGCCCCGGGGGAGGACCTGCTTGGAGTTGAGAGTCGACGCCACCAGGCGAGTACGGTTTGTACTCACCCTGAGGAGGATAATAGCCTTGCTGGCCGCCGTTGTAGTACTCTTGGTTGGACATGATGGTGGAAGAGAAAGAAGTGAGTAATGGACCACGAAGAAACCGACCAAAGGGAGTTGAACTGTGGGCGCGGGCGGTTATATAGGGTTGCACGGTCGGTCGCCGGCGCTTGTCCTGCGCACACGTGCGGACGCTTTGCAACCTCCTCTCTACTCACGCACCGCCTCCTCACAGCAGACGTTGCACAGCAGCGCAGCGTCTCTGCAATTTCGCCATACGTCCTTATTTTGTGTTAGCACAGCGAGACGGTACGGCTCGCCCGGCCAACGGCATCTCACTGTCTAGGTCAGTATTTATGACTCATCGGCCTCGAGGACACAGCTCGGCTCATCGCACGACTGACGATCAGGACACCGAACTATACTCCAGGCAATGCCGCACAGTCACCACTCTCATTCTGGGCAGTTCTGCAAGCACGCATCGGGCACGCTGGAGGATGTTGTCAAGGAGGCGATCCGACAGGGTTTCGAGATCTACGGCCTCACCGAGCACGTCCCTCGCTACCGCGTGCAGGACCTGTATCCGGAAGAGGTACTTGTGTCTTGCTTCTCACGTTACAGACAGCTAGAGCTTCGTCTGCCTGCGCATATTCGCTTGGTCTTGGCTCGTAAAGCAAGGGATATCTCTCGACGCGCTTGCCGCCCAGTTCGACCACTTTCTTGACGAGGCTCATAGGCTGAAGGCGCTGTACGGCGGTAACATCACACTTTTAGTGGGACTGGAGACGGAGCTTATTACCGACACGGATGTCACGAACCTGGAGCAATGTCTGCGGACACACGGAAACCGTATCGAGTACCTGGTTGGGTCAGTGCATCACGTTAATGCGATCCCCATCGACTTCGATACTGCCACATACCGAAAGTCGCTCAACAGCTTCTTACCCAATACTCTGGACACGGAACACCGACAGATGGAATCTTTCTTGTGTTCATACTTCGATGCTCAGTTTCAACTCATGACACGCTTCCACCCCGAGGTCATCGGGCATTTCGATTTGTGTCGGCTTTACAACCCATCGCTCATGTTCCAGGGTTACCCCGAGGCATGGGCAAAAGCTGCACGAAACGTCAGGTATGCTGTGGGTTACGGTGCGTTGTTCGAACTCAATGCTGCCGCGCTACGGAAAAGCTGGGATGTAGCCTATCCGGGCGAGGATGCTGCTACTGTGAGTGCTCGCGTTCAAAGTGCTCTACGTATCGCCTCATTTCGCCATCAGTTAATCATGCAGAATGGGGGCCGCTTTGCACTGTCAGACGACAGCCATGGACCGCATGCTGTTGGGCTGAACTACGACCGAATGGCTAATTACGCTCGACGTCTGGGAATCAAGGAGGTATGGACTTTGACGCCTTCTGACGAACCCAATGCTGGGGGTCGATTCCTGCGGCCTCGCAAACTGGAGCGGTGGGACGAACATGATTTTTGGAGGCGTAGGGGTACTTTTGGTGTATAACAAATTTCTTAAGTACCGGGGTTGTCTCGTGCGCCGTGTGCCAGGCTCAGACACGAAATCGCATGCTGTATCGAATTTGATTACTGTGATCAGGCGATCAATACGTACTGATCAGTGATCGTGGCTGGATCGAATTCCGGTCATACAGGCTCTCACTGCCATATTGTATCATTCACAATGATGAACTTCGGCAAGCCTCTTACTCCTCAGCAAACCGCAGCTTACCTGCGTACGCTGCCCGCCATCCGCGAGAGATGTGGCAGGGTCCACGCCCTTGCCCAGAAAGGCGAGCTGCAATATTTCACATATGATCCTGAGAAAGAGGAGGATATTGCGCAATTCTGTGTAGACATCATCAAGGTAGGTCATCGTGCGACCCCATCTGCCGCCTACGTACGCAGAGCTTACCGGCAACGCTAGCGTGATTTTGGGACCAACTATGCGTCGGTGAGTGAATGCACGCCTGCGCTGGGGTCATGTATTGATCACCATATGACTCTTGTCCGCTAGATCCCGCCGCATGGTCGCTGGCGGCACCTCGACGCAGGCCGCCCCCGCGTCGGCCCCCTCATCGAGAAGTGGAAGGCCTCTGCCAACCCGCCCGATCAGAAGGAGATTACCAAGCGACTCATTGACCTCTTTCTCGTCTCCGTGCTCCTGGATGCTGGTGCCGGCAACACCTGGACTTACCATGAGAAGCAGTCGGACATGAAATTCACGCGCTCTGAAGGGCTCGGCGTCGCCAGCATTAACATGTTTGAGGAGGGGTTCTTCTCAGGCGATAGCAGCAACCCGCACAAAGTTGATGGTCGGTGATACCCTTGTCTTGAGTTTCAAATAACGAGCTCATAATTGTGTTCGCAGCGGAGGGACTGGCGCGTATTACGCCAGAGATGGCTGCCTCTGCCATGCAAGTGTCCTCGTCCAACCCAATGGTGGGCATCGACGGGCGGACATCACTCCTGACCAATCTCAGCAACGCGCTGAAAGCCAGCCCCAAGTTCTTCGGGGACGATGCCAGGCCTGGAAATCTCATCGGTCTGCTGTCGCTCCATTCACAATACCTTGGTTCAGCCTGTACTGACGTACGTACCCCGGTTCGCAGATTTTCTCGAGTCCGGGTCCATTGCAAACGGCTCAACGCGGCGCGTCCATATCTTCGCGCTGTGGACAGTCCTCATTGAGGGCCTCGCGCCGATATGGCCGGCCACGCGGACGACGTTCGGAGGCGTTCCCCTCGGTGACGTCTGGCCGTGCGATGCGCTCAAGCCTACCTCTTTGAATGAGGGGGACGAGCTCGTGCCATTCCACAAGTTGACGGGGTGGATCACCTACAGTCTCGTCGAGCCGATTCAGACCGTCCTCGGTTGGGACGTGGAAGGGTTGGAGCACATGACGGGGCTGCCTGAGTATCGCAACGGTATGTACATCCCCCTTTCCACTTCATATCGGCGTGTGTCTCATGCGCTGCTGCAGGCGGCCTCCTCGTGGATCTGGGGGTCCTCTCACTCCGGCCCGGCGCAATTACCTCCTCGTTCTATTCCGATCCTGACACGGGCATCGCGAAGCTGCCGCCCTCGCACCCCGCTATTGTCGAGTGGAGGGCGATGACAGTCATTGAATTGTAAGCACACCTGTCCGCTTCCATGACCTGCTACGGAATCACTCTGCTGATGCTGATGGTCTCATGGAACTTAGGGACCGCATAGCCGATAAGATTCGACAGAAGCTTGGCCTGACGGCGGAGCAACTTTCGCTGGCGCAGGTTTTGGAAAGCGCCACATGGAAAGGTGGTCGGGAAATTGCCAAACAGAAGCGACCGGCTTCGGGAGGGCCTCCCATTGATATTGAGAGCGACGGCACGGTCTTTTAGCCGGTGGCTCCATCTTCAAGAGAGATACGGACAACATACGCATACGAGCAAGGCAAGCACAAATAATATTCCAGGGAAATTGTGTATGAAATGAGACTCGACGTAGGATAACAGCGAATATACTCGAATGCATATTGTACAACGCGTGTAAACGAGAAATTCTACCACTACACACGTGAACAGTTCCGATACGAAAATATGTAGAATCAAGAAGGGATTACAGCTAGTTCTATTTCTCATAGTAGGTAGCGAGCAGGCGAATACATGCCCAACAATAGCAAGACCTGGACAGCGAATAAAGACGGCAGCAAAGGTTACGGCCGGTCAGACGGGAGGCTCAAATGAGCGTCGTTGCTATTGAGTGCTATTTGAAGGTCATAGACATGTCTTCATACAAAGAGAGCCCGCTTACCGAAGGGCCGAGAGAGACGATGGGCCCTTTACGATGACAACTCAGCGGGGGGTGGCGGTAGACTGGAAGGAAGAGGCAAAGGCGTACATTCGGGCCCCCTGCTGGAGGAAGTATTGTGTCAGCGGCGTCTGTGCTGTCAACACGTTGCGGCGAGAAGATCGTGTCAGATTGATCCTGATGCTGCAAGACAATAAGCCCACCAGGCGCGGTGTAATCATGTCGTGGCACTACGTCAAATGGAAGAGATCGGGCCTGCGCCAGGATCGTTCCGGGGGCGATTGCGCCAGTAGCCTCTAATAGATCCAATCTATCGATAGGAGAGTCAGAGGACTGTACCAGGGGCATGAGAGACATGATTGCCTCGGTAGTCTGAGCAATGCGACTGAGAGTTGGTACTGTCCCTGCCATCTGATGCTGACGTCTGGAAAGATGAAGTACACTCCTTTTTTCCCTTGCAGGTTGTGCAGAACCTGTGGCGAGGCGACCAAATTTCCATATAGCAGTCGCTGAGGTCCGCCCGACGTCTGAGAAATATCTGCGGATGCACTCCCATCGCTGGAGAGCAGCGACAATTGGGCAACCAAGAACGGAAGATCTGCATCGCTGGTCAAGACGTTGTGTTCAGAACAAGAGGAACGGATGTTTTTGTGCTCACTCACTCCACGGCCGCCACCTCAGACTGGTCTGGAATGAGCAGGCGAGCAATAAGCGGCGGCGCCAATGGTAGCCGAGTCAGGGTAGAATCCCTGAACTCCGCAGTTTTCGCTGGATGTTGAACTATCTCCAAGCGGTATGATCTAGGAGCCGCATTGTGAGTTGAAGGCGACGAAACCGTGAATTGGAAACTCACGCAAGTGTATCCTCAGAACTGTGTGATAGTTTCTGGACGTTTGGAGCACTCGCCGGGTAGGGACGCAGTCGCTGCACATTTCGTCGGGGCAAGCTACGATGCCTTCCGGAAGAGGGGCTGCTATGCTGTAATGTATATTTCCCTCCTTCGGCGCCGTTGGCGAGAAAGTGAATGGATAACTTGTCATTTCCATGAAGCGAATCTGGAAAAGGTTGACGGTCTTGAAGCGAATAGGTTGGGCTCAAGCTCACGTAAATGTGGGAGACTTGGAGGCTTGTTGATAGCAATTTGTCGTTCGGGGTAAGCGAGTGTGTATGACGGTTTCACGAAGATGGCGGCATAAAAAATCGCGTACCAGTATATCAGGCAGAACGCATATTTCGGGCACCGATACTGAGCCAGCACGTACCCGGAGAGAGAAATCAGGAGATGCTCGGAGGTGGGGCTGCCCTGATTCGTGAAGAAGAAAAGAATCCGCATCCACTCGGCAGGTCGGTAAATATTGTGTCATCTCTCACAGCGTAGGCCTCGGACGTCGAGCGTTGCCTCGGCGACGGACAATCTACCGGTGGCGACGTGGAGGTCCCGCAGGCAAGCCACCGTTCTGCTAGCGCATGGGTCGGAGTGCAAGACAATAACGAGACTTAGCGCGTGGGCATAAATACGGCTCGCCGGGAAGCACAGGAGTCGTCTACCTTGATTGATGCACAAGCTCCCGATCCCAAACAGCCAGATGAGATTCCGCACGCCATCGGCGTGGTCGCAAATGTGGAAGGTGGTCCTCAAGTTTACGGACTTCAGGGGCGATCACAAGCAGAGTAGAATATCAGATCCAGAAGCGACTCACAGAGGGGAGGATTAAGTATATTAGATGTACTAGAATTTTTAAACGCTCCGCTTGACATAGCTCCAGACGCCTGCTAGTGCAGATACGAAAGTGGCCGCAGCTAAGGCTGGCCGCACGCCCGCTAACAGAACCCAATCCATCAGAAAAATATTACTGGTACAAAATCCCAAAGGGGCGTACCTGTTGCTTTGTAGAGCGCACCGGTCAGCGCACCAGCGGCCATGCTGCCCACCGTATCATGCCTTCCCCTTATGCCGTCAATGGAAGAGTTTATGCCATTATAGACAAGGGCTAAACGCATCTGCCAGTGAGAACAAAAAGCAGGAACCTATCGGGAAACTAACCCAGGACACCCGCCGAGTTGCCAATAAAGGTCCCTCTTCGTGTAACGGAATTCAGAACGCTATTGATCCGCAACCGGGAATTGGACGCTGCTAGGGGTCTTCGCGCGCCTTCACGCAAACCCCACACACCGCCGAGGGCGAGACCTAGTAGGATGGCGGTGAACATGTGATGTTGCAAGACAATAAGACAGCACATCAACGATAAGGTGAGAGTGCCGGTATATGAAATTGTATAGCGGCCGTGCGTTGAGAACGCGGCGGGAGTGAGAATGGCAGAAGGAAAAGAGAGACGCACCACTGAGATACATGGTCCCGGTGCCATAACACAAGTCGTCACTCCAGCCCCGAGAGGGGATTGCCGTGCCCGACCCTGGCAGGTCACTCGTTTTGTCATCGTCCAGCAGCAAATAGTCAAGCTTGTCTCCCAAGCCAGCCATGGGATGCAGTTTTGTGGGGTCGAATTGACCCAGCAGCAGATCCGAAGCTGTCACCGCACTCTCTGGTGAGACAGGCACACCCCCACTGCGGGCAAAGGTAGCATTGCGGAGAGTTTCAGTAGGGTCATGCGACGAGCTGCTGGATGAGTCCATTGCCAAGCTGACGACCAGAGAGCTCTTGATACCGTGGACACTGGCAAGTCTGAGACTGAGCCGTTTGCTGGACTTCCGCGCGCTCACGAAATTTCGGGTCATGTGACACGGGACAATGATGGGCGTCTACTCCATCCGTGACCGTCTCGGCATTAATTCTGCAAAACGCTAGTAAAATATTTCCTTGCTTGGCCGTAAATTGTTGTTTGACCATGTCTAAGATAGGGACATGTCATGAACAGTACCAGAATGTCAGTATTACGCATGGCGCATAACAGAGTTTGGCGTTGTATCTGATTAACTCTCCCTAATGGATGCATAACACCTCCGCACAATTGCTGCTAACTCGTTGTCGACATCGGTCAGCGTGCTTTCCTTCCTGGAAATCTCCATGTAGGCTTCCGCATCTGACATATCATCTTCACCGCCCTGAGCAAGACCTCTCTTCGCTACGTGCCAATGTTGAGGGTTTTGACCACGCGAGAACACTTCAACAATGTCACCGTTACTGGCGAGGTCGAAAATCAGGGCCGTCTGGATATGAGCGAGACAAGAACACTTGCCTTCGTAACAACTGTTGAGCGTTGTACAGATGGGCTGACTTCATGACGCAATCGGGACTCGAAAATAGTAAGAAGCCGTTCTTTCCTATGATGTGACGATCTTTCGGTTGTAGAATCTTTGTTGCCGTAGGAAGAGAAGTATCTAGTGTTCTACGAGGCCGCATATCAGTAGATAAACAAGACAAGACATGATCATACCTACGCTTCTTGTCCCTGGCCATCAATGATCTCCTGCATGGCTGTTAATTGCTCTAGGATAGGTTGGACTAATGTTTGTACACTGGATGCGTCTTCCTTGAAATTAACCAATAACGCGAATGACAACCGATCCCGCTACGAATGCGCCGTAAGCCATGGCTATCAGAACCACGGAATAAGCTCTTACGGTCAAATGCCAGACTCGCTTCTTCTCTATTACTGTGCTATTGGCAGGATCTCCCAAGTATATTGTAGTCGACAACAAGGACGGTAGTACTGCCTCGCTCGTGGGGGATCCTGAAACGGGAGCGTTGTCGGAGATAGTTTCTGATGTAGAAGCTGTACTGCGTTCCACCGCAGAGATATCCAGATTCGGCCCAGCAGACATGGCCTGTTCATCTGACGGCTGATCTGCAAGTAAACTTGGTATAGTGTTCTCAGACTGCGTGGCAGATTCCGAAATCTCGGGGGTTGAATGCGGGAATGGTTCTGACAGTGTGAGTGGTGAATGAGAGCGGATAGACGGAGTGCGCAGATATTCCGTGGATATCGCTTCCCGCAGGGATTCTGCATCTACATCAATCAGGCTGCTTTTCTCGCCCGCTTGTTCAGCCTTGCGTGATCCTGGCGCTTTGGGGCTAGCATCCTCGCCCACGGATGTAGTAAGTGATCCAACAGCGGAAGACGAGGCAGCAGACGCCGCCGCTGGCTTGGGGGATTCCTTCCCGAAAGTCCACCAGTTCCACCTAAGATTGCGGATATCCATGCTCATGTTTGGCATTAGCGTTGAAACGCTTCCAGATGGTACCTCGGGGATGACCGAGCTACCTTCATTATATGGGGGGCTACTTATAGGCGATTGTGGTCCGCTATTGCTGGCACGGATGGTGCTTGACGTTGCAGTTGCATCTGTCAGCACAGGTAGGGCCGTGGTTTCAGAACACGGGATAGGAGGGATCCGGGATAGGATGTATCGAACGAGAGATGTTGGGTATCGGGAAGCGGAAAATTTAGTAGACGGGATCACGTACGGAGGTGCCAGGACGAAGGCACATGCGTCTCCCAGTTCACTTGTAGTAAATGTGTCCAGAATGGATGACAATTGTCGCGACAAGGGATGAAGATGCACACCTAATTAACAACCCTGATGTAAGTAGCATTCAACAAATAATCCAGCATTTACATACCGAGGTAAGACGCAAAATCAGTGTCTTCTTCTATGTCCCACTTCCAGGCCCACACAGTAAAGAATCTTTCGAGTTGAAGCTCTAATGCCTGCTGACCCAGAGTGAATAGTATGTTTGCAAAGGACCCGTGGGTCAACTGTACACGGCTATCTTAGATGGGTGCATTGATAAATTATTCCCCATCAAACCCACCTTGAATTCTTCGTACCCTTGCAAGAGGTGCGCACGGAGCAGGACATCGTGGACAGACGCATCATGGTACTCCACAACATCCTGCGGGGTGACATTGTCGGTCTTCTTGGCCTTCCCCTTCTTAGACTTTCCCTTAGGTGCGGCAGAGCGAGGCGTTTTGGCAACCTCGACGCACTGTATGTTCCCCATTATCAGCAATAAAGAACTACTTCAAGATGTATCATACCAACAGCATGTATCCAGAAGTCAGGTTCAGGCGAGATCATAACCATTCGTCTTGTCTGCGAATGCACATTCTCGCACGCTTGGTCAGGGTCAAAAGCCCTACAAAGGTTGCATCCTCAACATCAAGATGACGTCGACGGACCGAGACGGCACATACTCAGAGAAATTGACCAGTGCTTTCGCAAGACCGACCTGCCTCAGCATGCGGTCCCGCGAGACAGCACGTTCGCGGGCCGTATAGAATAGGATTTGTGCCTGCTCTTCAGCATCTTCATCTCCTGTATAAGCATCGGGGGCAAGAGATAGTGTAGGGTTGTAAATGGTGAGGTAGAGGAGACATGGAGGGATTCTGCTCATCACACTACCTCAGACCAACTACTCGTAAGTAAGATTGTCGCACGTGGAATGCTGCTAGAGCAATGTCGTTGTACCCCTCAACAGGTAGCGAGGAAACCGAACAGCGTATATGCGCCAGCTGAGGACTGGTCTCAAACTGCGCTAGCGTTTGTGTGCAATTGCCGTTTTCACGAAAGGTGTCGCGCGCGTCCAACACAAACAAATTCTCGCTGAACGACCTCCCACTGAAAACACAAATATCTTGACAACCACTGAGCATACCGTCTTCATGTTTGCTGCGCTAGACTCGCCTCGTCGTCCCGCAGGTCCTGGTACCGAAAGCATCATGATTTTCCAACATTGAAATTTCGACATCTTCGGCATCCCTCTGAAGCAGAATCGTTCCTGCTCGCGAACACGGCATCGGAGATTCATAGGACGGGTACCCTTGGGGATAGACGGGTGCTGTGGATGGCCTGATACAGCTGCGGTGTGTCTCTAAAGTCTGCCCGCTTTGTGCTATTCACATTCTTGGGGGCGACTGTCGTGTCCTTCCTTGTTCCTTTGCATATCTCAAAAACATCCCTTCGTTTGTTTTTATGGATTGTATCTTGCATTTGTGCCCCTACTGGCCCCTTCTACCATCCTCTCCTATCACTGCTGCATTTCCCCAGCCTCTGGGTTGCGATACATGGATACAGTATGATTAAGTACAAATGATATGCCATGTAGATACCAGTGTCCTTATAACCACAAGCACTTGGTATTGTCTTTGAAATAATATTGATAATGAGATCTATGTTACAGATAATGTAGACAGTCAAACATGGAGTGGCAAAGTACTTGTAAGTGTAGGAAGTATAAGAATGACTGGCAAAGCTAGCGCAAGGGAGGGAAAGAAAATGAGAGTCTGTGCTACAGGCAATGCTTATTTAAAGCTTAATGAAACTTCTCTCCGACACCTGAATGGGATGAGACGAAGTAATACCATCATTATGTGAACATGGCTAGGAGCATAGCGAGAACCAGACATAACAAAGCGGGCAGACTTTAGAACCACACCGCAGCTGTATCAGGCCATCCACAGCACCCGTCTATCCCCAAGGGTACCCGTCCTATGAATCTCCGATGCCGTGTTCGCGAGCAGGAACGATTCTGCTTCAGAGGGATGCCGAAGATGTCGAAATTTCAATGTTGGAAAATCATGATGCTTTCGGTACCAGGACCTGCGGGACGACGAGGCGAGTCTAGCGCAGCAAACATGAAGACGGTATGCTCAGTGGTTGTCAAGATATTTGTGTTTTCAGTGGGAGGTCGTTCAGCGAGAATTTGTTTGTGTTGGACGCGCGCGACACCTTTCGTGAAAACGGCAATACTTATGAGAGCCACAGCGGGTTGACCCCGTACGTGGTAACGTGGGTTCCAATCGTAAATCGCGCGGAGGCTCATGCTAGTCATATTGCTTCGAGAGACCATGGGGTATGTAAATACAAAAGTCTGTAACGATACAATCATACAATACCGCTCTATCATAATTGAACACGACAGCACGAGGATTCACTGTACATGATCGTCCGGAATCTACAGTTCCAGGCGCATCCCAACTTTAAATGGGACCCTCGTCAAGATCGCTCTCATCATCATTAGAACCCATTAACTTTGAGGGGGAAATGCTAGAAATGGGCTCTTCTAGCGCGATTGACGGGAACGCCTTAAGAGAGTCAATGCGTACTCCCCCTTGCCATGAACGGTGCTCGTATACATGCATCTCGTCAAGGTCGTCCAGATCAGGCTCTGCCGCTACAGACGACGAGGGTGATCCTGTTGACGAAGGGTCAGGGAGGTCGAAATGGTGCGTGCTAAGCCCCAGAGGAGGTAGACTGGACTCGACCGCGTCATCGAACAGAGACGCAAACGGAGGTGGTTGTTCATCGTCATCAAGCGGGGGAAGAGATGAAGCCGGGGAGGAGCGTGACATGGACTGAGGTGTTGCCCAGTCATCATTGTACTGATACCCCGTGACGGTGCCCATGTTCTCTTGTCCGACCTTGAAAAAATCTCGCCGGCCTAATTGTGAAGCGGGGGGGCTATTGTCCTCCAGGGGTGGCGTTGGCAGTTGAGTGGCCTCCTGATCGGGAGGGGAAGTCAATGTCGGATTACTCCGAGCTGCTTCAACTTTGGCGTGGCTCTTACCACCGAGTGGTCGAGAGGTGCGCCTCCGATAGAATAACAGGTAGGCGTTCGAATTCTGGAATGATACACGGAGTGAGGACATGACATCAAACAGCGAGATTTGATAACGTACCACAGCCGCCTCTGGTTGAACTGACGTGACATACGAATCGTCGAAGTGGTACCACTTATCGGTAGTGTGGTTGTATGAATACGCACGATAGTGGCCGCCCCCAAGACCACCGAGATGCTCGTCCACTGCATACAGATCGTACATCAGAGGTTCATCCAGATTGCTCAGACCGAGCTCCGAGGCATCGATTCCTTCCTCTGCGAGTCGCTGGGCAACCTGGCGCTCGCCAACCATGGGCGAGAGGTCCAACCCCTCCAATGGGAAGTCGACGAACGTATCGATCTTATCCCTGAGCATGCGACTGTTGCTGAAGCGCTTGAGGTGAACGACTAGCACGTCGGGGACCTTCCAGATGTCGAAGCGCTTTGTGGCCTGCTGATGCTTCTTGCAGATCGGGCAGTACCACAAGTCATCCTCGCCCAGCTTCTCCTCCTTCGTGAACTCATCCAGGCAATCCTGGAGGGAGATGCCCTTGTTCTTCCTGGCGGCTGCTGCTTTCCGACTCGCAGTATACTCGGGGTGGACGTATTCCTCCCAGCTGTTCCAATCGACAAAGTCGGAGCGCGTACGCTCGTTATTGTCGCCGAAGTAGTAGGCCTTCATATTCTCATCGAACTCACAGACAAAAAGGTCGTTCTCCTGGAGTAGCACCGGGGGCTCCGGAGCATTTGGCAAGTTCTTCGCTTGGGAAGCGCGGTGCTCCCATTCGTCGGCGCGCTGCGAGCCGCTACCATAGTTGTTGTAGCTGGCGCCATATCTCGCATCTCCCGCCTGAACGCGCAGCTTGAAGATGCCCTTTTTGTACCCGACTCTGCGAGGTTCTTCGGTGACGATCTCGACCATGCTGACGTCATCCTCATCTCTGACTACCGATGCTTTCTCGTCAGTGATGTCGCCCTCCTCAGGTGCACTCTCCTCAACAGTGATGATATCGCCGTTCGCCTTGATTTCCGTGACTGCATCTTCAGGAGGCCCAGAAATGGGTATCTGCACAGGCACCGTCATGGTCGGGGTGACGGGTACCCATGTAAAGAGGTCGCGGATGTTCGCCGTCCAGCGCTGCAGACGCTCGACGACGACGTCGTATATGACATCGGGATCCGTGGCCTGCTCCTGGTCAACGACGACTACGAAAGGATATCCGAACAGGCTTTGACTGTTGCGGTATGAGAAGCGCGCCGAAGCCATGTCAGAGAGGAGCACCGGGACAATGAATGGGTCGCCAGGTTGCGGCTTGTATGTCCTGCTCTGCTGTGCGTGGCAAGGCAGTTCGAAGCACATGATAATATCATTGTGGGACATGTCGCCCACAAGGCAGGTATCATCGAGGTCCTTGTAGAATCTATGACTGAACACCTCGAGCGTGAGAAGCTGGATGTTGGACTCATAAAACATCAATACGATAGGTGCAGATTGAAGAGCCTTACATTATCTGGATTCACATCCATCCACCTCCCTAGCAATTGGCGGAGGTCTTTGAACGAGGCATCGCGACTGATCTCCACAGGGATCTGCCGGGTTCATGTGAGCGGCGTAGAAGAGGTGAGCCATGTATATTGGCTGACCTTCAAATGTTGCCTATCCATATCCCAAGGGACGTAGTAGATGTTATGTTTCCATTTCTTGTCCACGGGAAGGGGTAATGTCAGATACATGAATGGGTCAAAGGTGATTGAGACCTGGACAATTGATCCTTTTTAGTAACCCATACACCATCTTGCCGCCACACCGCCAACTGAGTCTTACCTTCGCGCATTCTGGACACACCAGCGTGCTCTGATACTGTCCTTGGAAAAGGTCGACGATTACACTGTCGTTTCGCTTCATGTATCCCTCCCAGGAATTCTGGGCCAGTCCGATGAGCTCCTTGTCACCTCCGCCTTCCCAGTCGGGTTTCTCGACATATGGCTTTTTCCGCACACGGTTCAAGTCTTCGTGCAGGCCATCGAGTAAGAACGCCACAAGTTCTTGCGAATCGTGCTGTTGGTACCCGCTGAACTGAGGTGCGAAGCGCTGCAATGCTTGCTTGAACTCCCGCGGTGCGTATGAGGTCCCCGTTCCGCCGGGAACCCAAATACGATGGAGGAGCGCGCCAAACGCATTGGCAATGGCACCTCCCATTCCCAGGGGATTGTCGGGATTGAGCTCTTCCTCAAATACACCAGCTAGGTGACACATCAGGTTCGCGCCACATGTGTCAGGTTCGGGGAGGAATACGCACTAAGGAAGTACTCGGTCAACTCTGGTGTATGCGCGAGGCACTGCAATGCTGAGTTCATGAAGCACGTATTACCCCTTGCGCGACGTGAGTAGAAGAGACAGTCCTAACCACAGAAGGCTTACATATTCCCTAACCCGAGAGTGCCGGGATCCAACGCGAAAGGCGTCTTAGCACGTGGCGCGACTTTGAGCGACGTAGACTTCGCGGAAGGTTTTTGCGCCGATGATGTTGCCGAGCTTGTGCCAGAGACCGCAGACTTTGCTTGAATCTCGCTGAAGAAGTCTTGGCCCGTGTTGAAGAGCTTCGGCGCCGATCCTTGTGTGATCGTGGATTGTGACGTAGAAGTGGACACAGTACCGGCCTGCGCAGGCACCTCGTCGTCTGCAACAATCCAAAGCCCTTCCTCTTGCGGTTCGACGACGAACGCATCGCCTTCCTCGATGAGCTCATCCTCCACTGTCTTATGGCTGGGTTGTATGACGACTGCGCCGAGCTCCTTGAGCTGTTCCGGAGTGCAGGGAAACTGGGTCAGCCCAGAGCCACCCTCCGCGAGCTTCCAAATGCGATACTGGCGCTGGCGGTCGAAGTTCGGGAGAGCTAGGATCTTGTCTTGAACATTGGCGAGAGTGTCTTTCACTGAGACGAAGACTTTGGACGGCTCGACCTCGATGCCAGGTACAGCCTGAGCGCTGAGGACATGAACCCGGATGCACAGAGGGTGGAGTTCGAGAGACGGCTCTGCCTGGACGCCCCGCGGGATCACCGTACGAGGAAGCGGTAGACGAGATTCACCGCACCTGTAAACTATGAGCAAGATGCTTGCGGAAACGCGCTCGCACTTGCTGGACTCACCCCTCGGCAAACCAATGCCATACTTTCTCCGGCACGAATTGTAGCTCTTCTAAGGGAACATCCTGCTTGATGACACCGTCTTGTGTGGCGATGTCGGTATTATCCACAGGACCAACGTCCTTGATGTTTAAACCGCCTTCCTTGTCGACCTCGCCAGAGATTGCCTTGCGCCACCGGCGGTACCAGGTAGGAGACACCACGTACCATGTCTCACCGATGTGCATGGGCTCCCTGCATAATGACTCTATGAGAGCCAGAGTGGGCTCTGGCGACTGGGAAGCGGTTTGGTCGGACATATAAGCATCGATCTCTACATCGCGAGCGAAAGATTGAGCAACGGTCACGTCTTGTGGCTGAGTTGGACGAACGGTGTCCTGCGCCGCCGGGTCATCAGAAAGTGACCGCTTGGGAGACGAAGAAGAAGGCTCTGATTGCATGGACTGGGAGCGTTGTCTTTTGCGGGTGTTTGTCGTATCTTGCGTGATTAGTGAAGGAGAGGACGATGGCGATGAAGGGGTAAGCATAGCGTTGAGGAAAATGCTAGAAAGAAAACAGTGGCAGCCCAAAATGGACGTAATATTGGATGAAGCGGGCGACGCGCGTGCCTTTGATCGTGGCAATACATTTCATTGAACTGCGGTTTCAAGTGACCAGTCGTTATCGAGGTACATCCCCGCACGCGAATGCCAAATGGCCCCTTTCTCATGGCTCGGATGCTCTCGTACACTCATAAAGCGTTTCTCTTTGATGATGGATTTGTAAATGACATTGTCGTGTCAACACGGATGTGGCCCAGGCGGTCGAGAGCTCGAAGCGCTACAGCAATGTCCGTTTGTCGAGACCAGCGCGCTGTATATAACTACTAGTAATACATCCCCCTCGCCGAGGCCAACTCGAGGCCCTGAGCTGGGTATGACCTCGGCCCAGCAGGTGTACCTGTAGTGGGTCCCTCCACGGGAGGAGTCGCGAGTGCAGCTGGTCACAAGTCTTGTTTCTGTGCGGAGCTCCTGACGTTCCCACTTCGCCATAGGGGGGCTGGGCAGGCACCATGCAGCTTTCGTGACCATGTCTCGCTGGCGTATATATTCTCTGGACAGTGCGCCTTCGTGATCTGCACAACTCCTCTCGACTATCCTTCACTCCGCCATGTCCGTCCAATGTGCGCGAATCCCCTTGTACACTCCCGCTATCCGCTGATTTGTCTGCTTAGCCAAACACTTTGTCAATGCCGCAGAGAATCTCGTAGTCGAGTCTCTGCAGGGGCTCTGCGCAGTGAACCCCCAAATCGCCCTCGATGTTGCGGATAAAGGTGAGCATCATCTGAGGCCACCGACTCTATGCGTCTTTTGATGTATCTATGGATTTTATTGAATCTCCCCCTTTGTAGTGGTCTATGTCGCATCTCCGGATCGTTCCAAGGTCGCATTGATTTGTGGTGGCGGCTCGGGACACGAGCCTGCGCACGGTGGCTTCGTTGGTCAGTTATCGGTAGCGCTTATGATGTCATGAGCACTCACCGTGCGACGCGAACACAGGCGACGGCATACTCACAGGTACGTTCCTTCGCATACGCATATGGCATGCTCCTGACGACCCTCATCGACAGCCGCAGCGTGCGGCAGCGTCTTCGCGTCTCCCAACGCCAGCCAGGTGCGCAGAGCCATCGACCTTGTGGAGAACGAGAAAGGGTGAGTGTATCCCGCCCCATGCACGTCATGAGCCCGTCGCATTTACCGAGCTGTCCCACAGTGCCGTCATTATCGTGAAGTAAGTGGATTCTTCCGCGGCCCGGTCCCTACATCGCCGCGTCCCGCCTGCGCCGTACTGACAGGGACTCACCCGCCCGTAGAAATTACACCGGCGACATTCTGAACTTCGGACTGGCACGAGAGCAGTACGCTGCACAGCACCCTGAAAAGGCGGACCGCGTCAGGTTCGTCGTCGTAGCAGATGACGTCGCGGTGGGCAGGAGCCAAGGGAAGATTGTTGGCAGGAGGTGCGTCCCCGGCCCGCGGTCGCGTCTTCGCGGGCTCGCATTTACGCGTACTATCTCCGCAGAGGCCTTGCGGGCACATGTCTGGTGTACAAGATTGCCGGCGCGCACGCGAAACGAGGAGCAAGCCTCAACGAGGTGTATGATATCGCGGAATGGGTTTCGTCGCGTGTGGGCACGATCGGTGTCGGCCTCGAGCACTGCCACGTACAGTACTTCACGTCGGTCATATGTCGTCCTTATACTGATTGTCCGTAAATCGGGCACACAGGTCCCAGGAACAGCCGCAGGGGAGTCTCATCTCAAGCCGTCAGAGATCGAGATAGGAATGGGCATACACAACGAACCTGGCAATCGCCGTCTGTCGCCCATTCCGCCACTCAGTGATATTGTCAAGGAACAGCTTGATTTGCTCACGTCCACGTCTGACCCGGAGCGCTCTTTCTTGCCGTTCAAGGGCAAAGACAAGATTGTCCTGCTCGTGAACAACCTCGGCGGGACGAGCGAGCTAGAGATGACAAGTATTGTTCGCGAGACCAGGCTCCAACTGGAGTCGCGGGGATACCAGATCGAGCGCGTGCTGGCCGGCACGTTCATGGTGCGTGCTCAGACTTGACAGTAATCGCTGTGGAAGCTAAATATAATGATTGGTGTAGACAAGCTTGAACATGCCCGGTTACTCGATCACCGTGCTCCTCCTCCCTGACTCATCCGAGAAGAACGCCCCGTCGGCTTCTCTGCTTCTCGAGCTTCTCGACGACAAGCCCAACGTGCCCGGCTGGAAGTGGTCCGCGCCGTCGAAGCCGCTCGCGCCCTCAGCGCAGATCAAACAGACCTCTGGGACAGGGTCGGCGGCCGCGGTCGCGGAGACAATCAGGCTGCGCGCGGAGGACCCGCAGGCGTTCATTGCATCCGTCAAGCGGGCGTGCGAGGCGCTCATCGAGGCCGAGCCGGAGCTCACGCGCATGGACAGCATCGCGGGAGACGGCGACTGCGGGCTGACGCTTAAGGACGGTGCGAACGGTGCGTACCGAGCTTCCGGGGACTCATGACCCGTTGTCTGTGTGGCTGCGTCTGCCGGCAGCACGGAGTATGTGTCTGGTATGCAGTGCTGATAGACACGGTGGACAGGTGTCCTAAAGGAAGTCGACGCCGGCAGGATCTCGGGCGACAACGTCGTCGACTCCGTCATCGCCGTGGCCAAGGTCGCGGAGGAACGGATGGGCGGGACGAGCGGAGCGCTGTACTCGTATGTGCTTCCCTTCAGACGCTCGCTGTGATCACTCACCGGTGGATCTGCCGCGACCCAGAATATTCTTCTCAGCGCTCGCACAGGGGCTGCAGGTCCACAGCAAGGGCACGCTGAGCGCCGCGCAGTGGTCCGAGTCACTGACGGAGGCGCGCGACAAGCTCTACACGTATACCCGCGCGCGGCCGCCGTCACGCACGCTTGTGGACCCGCTGGACGCGTTCGTGCGGGCGCTGGCCGCGGCGAAGGGCGCCGACTTTGGCGCCGCGGTGAAGGCGGCAGGCGATGCTGCACTGAAGACGCGCGATCTGGAGGCGAAGGCAGGGCGCAGCGCGTACGTCGAAGGGAACAGGCTGAAGGACGAGCAGGTGCCTGACCCCGGCGCGTGGGGTGTGAAGGTCATCCTGGAAGGTCTGCTGGGCTGAGCTCGCGTGTGTGGCGGACGCGGTTGTAAATGATGCGAGCGGGATTCAATAAAGCGAGGTACGCGAGTCATGTATGATACCGATGTTGATGCGTGCGGGCGTTCTCCACATGTATTCTAGCCGTTCGAGTGTGTCAATCGGGACTAGAATCTGCAAGAGGGATTCCGCTTCGGATTGTGCGTTGCGCCTGTGCTAATAATCAGTGTTGGGCCGGTCGTCTGCCGATCGCCCCAGTCGTTCCCACGACTGGGGCGACTGGCAGACGACTACACGACAGGGCGAGTCCTGCGACTAAATGATAGTCACATGACGACTCGCACCACACTGACTTAGATGCGAGTGCCGAGTCGCTGCTCACAGAATAAAACATGTATTCTCATACTTCTGTGAATACTAGTGCTGCACTCTACTACATTCCCTATTATTTTGTCGCTGAATCTCCTCCCACATCTGCATCACGTCTTGTCGTGCGTGCCCTGTGGCTGAACAGTCTCCAGCGTGGGAATAGTCGCCAGCGTGGAAAAAATCGCCGTCACTTGTAGTCGTTTCGACTGGTGCTAATGCTAGTAAGTGTTGCTCTGAGTGCCTTGCGGGCCCGATCAGGTTTTGCGGACGCGAATGGCAACTCGCGGCCCTTGCAAGATCTGGTGGCGTTTACGGACAAATACGCCCCACTCCCATCATTGCATCCGCGCACCATGTTCGACGCCAAAGGCTAAGCGCGATACCGTGTGTCTGGCGGCGACTCTAAATTGCAACTCCACCGATTGCAAGGTGAAATTCTGGCTCAGGGCCAGGCCGTCTGCCGCGGCATCTGATCGTCGCCAGGCGAAAGCAGGGAGAAAGCTGGAGAAAGGCAATATTCGCGGGGGCAGGTGACCGCCCCGTGCACGCGCCGCCAAATTGGCATCAGAGATGGTATAGGTCCCGTGAAAGGGGTCGCGTATGTAGTCGCACACGGCTGAGGAAATGCGGGGAATGCGCTTCCCTGGGGTTCGCAGGTTCGCAGGTTCGCCATTCAATCGCGATTGAGTTATCTGAGGCTTAGGATGCGGCTTCGCGGTGACGCGTGCGGGGTAAGCGCGGGGTGTATTGCATGCGCTGTGGGCCCGCAGTGGGTGCTGTTGAATGCGCCCGAGGATGCGCGTGGGGCGGGGGCGAGACGTTGCGGGTTGAACTGGTGAGTTAGTGTGTTCTCAATTGAAAAGGGAACGCTGCGAGACCGTGGAGTGGGTTTGATCGCGCGATGATGGGGGCGCATAGACGGGGAATAAGTGTACGTACTACGAGACAGAGTCGGTGACAGAAGAAGGATGGGACGTGGTCAGACGGGGAGGCCATGGTCGATTGGTCGGATTCGATTGCCGCCCAATCTCATCAATCTCTTTGATAATCATATTCGGTCCTTATTTCGGCCAGTCAGGTGCTTGCTGTGCCACACCCGGCCGGGGCTCTCTGGCTTTGTCCCATATTTGTCCCATATTTGTGCGATACAAACATGGATCAATACACTGGTGGCTGTCACTTGTCACCGATCTTGCACTTGATGCTAGTGTCTCCGCCCATCTCGCCCACGTCGCTTAGCCATGTTCTTTTCGTCCCTGACGTACTAACAAAACTCTGGCCATACTAATGAGTTTGCTAAATCCTGACGATCAGCTACCATGTCGACCATGAGCGCGGGCTTGCTTGCTCGATAACAAGTCGAACTTCATCTAGAGGACATCCACTGGATATAAAAAAACATCATGTTTGCCTTGAGGTGAGCCAGACTGCCCACATTCCTTTGTGACCAAATGTC